GCCCAGCCCTCAGAGATTGCATCGGCAGTGGCTTTCCTTCTCTCGGACGAAGCCAGCTATGTCGCAGGGGAAGTGCTTTCCGTGACTGGTGGTCACGCATGAAGGCGGATGACGAGACGGAGAGGGAGGGAGGGAGGGAGGAGGGAACTCCGCGTCAACCAGGTACCCACAGGGTCTGGTACAAACAAAGAAAATGAAAATTCTTCGCATGATATATTTTATTCTTTCCAAATTTCTATCAACACCAAGACCCCCTTACCTCGACAAGGGCGAAACATCGAACGAAATCCGACGACGTCACTGTCCAGGTCCTGTCAGGTCAAACTGGCACCGGGCTAGCAGGCAGCAGGACCTCGACCTCGATTCGATTCCCACAGCGCTCACTTCGATCAAATCACACAAACAAATAATCTAGGTCTTGTCAGGACGAACTCACAATAACGGGTGAGCAGGCAGCAAGACCTCGATTCGAACCTCCTCCTCTTCCTGGACTCAACTTATAAATACTTCGTAGTAAACCGAGAAAAACCAACCCGCAAGGGTGAGTTTCGCTTATCACGCAACCAGAGTTGAGCTGCTTCGTGTTAAGTTTTTGCTGGTCTAGAAGACTGGTTCCAAAATGTCCGTAATATGAGCTGAAACCTGAAAACACACATAATGAACCCGATCACAATTTCATTTATATTTAATTGTTAATCATCAGAAGCGGCTTGGGTTAAGTGGCTGTACTACATATTGCACGCGTATCATATATCAGATGGGAACAATTATCCATAACAGGATCTATATGACCAGACTAGACTTGAACTGGACCTTCTCCAGGCCAATACCCATATATGAGTGTCGCATATAGACATAAAAGATATCAAAGAAACAGCTTATTCACTAAGACTCTCTCCCCCTAAGCCCACCAAGAATCCCCACTTCCCCACAGCAATTCCCGACAGGGATAGTAATGCATCTCTGACCGGCCGGTGCCAGTGTGTCCAGCACCAGCTAGCGCGAGAGTCAGAAAGTCCTGACTGAACGAAGAAATTGTTTGCCGCGGCCATGCATGGGGACATTCAAACCCTGACTTATTACTTACAATGCATGGGGAGAACCGATGGGGCCAGCGTCTTAGGGTGCCTATTATTCAACTTTGCTAGTGGTCTCCCTGTGGCACCCAATGTCAAGCGCCGCTTTTTCCAGCGCTTGGGCCTTTCGTACCGAGTACAATGCAGCGGCATCTTACATGGCAAGCTGGTACAAGGCAGGACAAGACAAGACAAGACCGAGGCATCTAAACTTACACGGGTCATGGCCATATCATCCCGAGGGAATGAAAGATCCCAAATCAGTAAGGTAAAGTTTACATGCAAATACATACACGCACTCAGAAGATTGCCCGTGTTTTAGGATTTTTGGCAAAGAATCTGAATCATCACCACCCCGCCTGTCTTCATTCATATGTTTTGAAAGAAAAATTCCTTTCTTTTCTTTTTCGTTCAATAGACCCCAGTGTGTGAGCAGCCCCGTGTCCCCCGTGTCTTCTCCACCAAGATGATCACAAACCTCGTGGACGAGTACGAGATCCTCGACCAATACCACTCGCAGCCACGGAAGCTCAAGATCATCCACGTCGGGGCCGGCGCGTCGGGTTTGTTATTGGCCTACAAGGCTGAGCGGCAGCTGCGCAACTACGAGTTGATCTGCTACGAAAAGTATGTCCACCCACAACTCTTGAGAAACAACACAGTATATCCCTATGTGAAGGGGGGGGGGGGGGAACCATAGGACTGACTCGGCTCTCTCTCTTGTTGGGAGTTAGGAATCCAAGCATCGGTGGAACATGGTATGAGAACAGATACCCCGGCTGCGCGTGCGACATCCCCGCCCATACCTACACCTACACCTTCCGCCCCAACCCGGAGTGGTCGGGCTTCTACTCGCGCTCGGACGAGATCCAGACGTACTTTGAGAAGTTCTACGAAGAGTACGACCTCAAACGCTACGTGCGGCTGGACACCGAGGTCGTGGGCGCCACGTGGTTCGAGGATAGCGGTGAATGTGAGTCTCTCCCTCACCCATGTATTCACGCAAATCCATCGACACCTGCCGTGGTTGGGTCGGAGAAAAAGATATCCTGACACGGACGTTTGGGGGCATATCTAGGGGAGGTTGAGCTCAGGAACGGAGATAGGACGTTTACAGATCGCTGCAACGTCCTGATCAATGGTTCGGGCGTCGTGAATAAATGGAAATGTGAGTTTTTCGCCGCGGCCATGCCATGGCTCAAAACTGGCGTGAAAAAGACGCCCCGAATCTGGTAGAGGCTAATCTCCTACACAGGGCCCGCCATCGAGGGCATTTCTTCCTACAAGGGCATCCTCGCCCACAGCGCCAACTGGGATACCTCGATCGACTGGCAAGGCAAGAAGGTGGCGGTGCTGGGAACAGGGTCGAGCTCCATCCAAATGGTGCCCCATCTAGCCCGAGGTAAAAGAGATTAACGAAACAAACCCAGATACCCAAAAGGAATATTCCCGCTGAGCCATTCATGTGTTGGGCAGGATCTCAGAGCTTGACCGTCTTTGCTCGAAACATGACCTATATCGCCCCGCAGGTCGCCGCCGACGCTCAAAAGATTGACGAAAACTCCCAACAACCAGCCGCGGTCGGGAAGCACTACTATATCGAAGCCGAGAAGCAGAAATTCCGCAGTGATCCAGGGTTCCACCTGCAGTATCGCAAGAGACTCGAGTCCGCCTTGACCGAGATGTTCCCCATGTTTTTGAGGGGTACCAAGCTGAACATGCAGGCCAGGGAAGGGATGCGAGCCAGCATGCTGGCCAAGATCGGACCGGGCCACGAAGAGTTGAAGCAGAGATTCATCCCGCAGTGGTCCCCGGGTTGTCGAAGGCTGACCCCGGGGGAAGGGTATCTCGAGACCCTGATCCTGGACCACGTCAAGGTGATCCACGACGAGATCGCGCGGTTCACCGAGACCGGGCTCGTGACGGCCGCTGGTGAGGCGTTGGACTTTGATATCATCGCCTGCGCGACCGGTTTCGACATCGCGTACACGCCGCACTTTAAGATCACGGGCGTCGACGGCGCCGTCATGCAGGAGGAATGGAAGGAGACGCCCAACATCTACCTCAGCATCACGGCGCCCAAGTTTCCCAATTACTTTGTCGTCAATGGGCCGACGGGGAATTGGGGCCAGGGATGTGCCCTGCCTTCGGTAAGCAAACCCCCCCTTTTTGTTGTCTCTCTTCCACTCCGCTTTCGGTGAGGACAGAACCCAGGTTGGACATTTCTGTTAATCTGTCATGTGTCACCTGGCATAGCACGAGGTCCAACTCGAGTACGCCCTCCAATGCTGCCGCAAGATGCAAGAGGAAGGCATCCGAGCGATGGAGCCGCGGCAGGGCCCGACGACGCAGATCAACCAGCATCTGGATGCGTGGCACAAGAAGTACAGCGTGTGGGCCGAGGAGTGCCGGTCGTGGTACAAGGACAACAAGCCCGACGGCCGCGTCTACATCTGGCCGGGCAGCCTGCTGCACCACCTGAAGACGCTTCGCAGCCCGCGTTATGAACACTACGACCTGCGCTACGAGAGCGACAACGTCTGGGCATTCCTGGGCAATGGGCGAACGGACTTGGAGTGGGAGCACGACAACGGCCGCCCGGTAGACCTGGCGCCGTATATTCGCAACGCCGATGTGCCGTGGAGTTTGGACCTGCCCGTGGATGTGCCCGTGAAAGGTGCGGAGCCGTCGCAACAGGCGTGACACGAAGAAAGGGCTGAAAGTGATTCCGAAAGTCGAGGTGTTAGTTCGTAACCAGACTTAGTGGCCTCCTCCCGCACTTGGAGATTTTGTGTGGGCGTGCAGGGAGATTGGCGACAAATGCGCTCATCTAGGTATTGGAGTTCCGCCCTTTGTTATCCCAACTGAATGAGAGAGACAGAAGTTGTTGCTTGTACTATAAGAAGTACAGGATGTCCGTTCAACCTATTCCAGAAGCTGTCGATAAGTAGCAGCAGTAGGTGCTTGACCGTCCTGATACGACGCACACCTGCGGTACCAGCTCATGGCGACGTCGTCCAGGGGCCGAGGTGAGGGCCAGGAGATCTTATTGCGTGACCGGAGCGGCACGCCCTGGGCGATTTTGACATTCGGCTCGTAGAGGTGCGGATACTTGACGAACAGGCTTGGGTCGAGGAGGTACTCTCCGACGCCCTGGCCGATCTTGAGACGGCGATACATCTCGTGCGCGTACTCCCTGGTGTGCAGCAGGGTGTAGAGGTCTGGAGCTGGCAACTTGACTTGGAGCTTGGGACCGATGATGGCGGTGGAGGTGGTGTTGGGATTGTCGCCGTCGTTCAGCCATGTCGGGTTCGTCTCCATGCCGAAGATGATGTCGTGGATGTTGAAGTAAACCATCAGGGGCTCGGCGCCCAGCACGAACTCAGACAGGTCTGCCTGCACGACGTACGCCAGGCCGATGTCGCCGCAGATCTCGTCCAAGGCCGGATCGGCGCAGTGGTATTGAATCAGCTTGTCCCTCAGAAAAGAGAAGACACACCAGTCAATGACAGGCGGATGGGGCACCGCCGTCTGAAGCGGAGTGGGCTGCATCGAGGGCGGTATGGCCGCAAATGTTTCGGGCCCAGGTGATATCCGCCACGCCGCAAGTTTCGTGAGCGTGTCCTTTCCGTTGGTCCATTGGATCCAGGATTCCATGCCGCCCCAGGCGATCTTGATAAAGGCGGAGACGAGGCTTGACACCATGTGATTGAGACTGAGGCATACTCTTTTCAGTAGGTTTGATTAAAAGCGTGTGTGGAATACTTTACGTACCTGCCCAGGTCGGGGTTTCGTCTGTTGCCCAGGTAGCCCGTCACAGCGCACATCTCATAGGCATGAATATGTTCCGAGTAGTTGGAGCGCGCCATCACCTGCAAGCTGCGATAGAGAGGGAATGTGACCGACGGTTGAGGATTGTGTCGTACCGACGGAGTGGTAGATAATGCTAGAACCCCCTGACCGACATCCCAGTCGACATCCTCTCTCAGAGACTCGTCGTTTGACGAGATCGCCACGTGCGGCTCTGATGCATATATTTCTGGGGTGGGTGTTTCGTTGGATGAAGAGATGGCAGAGCCCGAGCCAGGGCATGCATTTGGGTCCGAGATCGTGTTGAGAGGCGCGGACGGGGGTTCGACGTCAGCGAGGCCAGACGGCACGTCGACTGGGGCCGTCCACGGATCCAGGCCTTCATCGTCCTCGTCGAGCCTGCTTGTATGTGCGTCCTTATTATGGCTTTTCATTAGACTCAAAAGGATCACCTGGATTCACAAGGGGCTCGACCATAACCGATGTGCATGAGGGATCAACTCCACGACTTACAAAGTTGTTCTCCCTGCTCTCCACCATGGTATCGATGATGCCCTTCAGCGTTGCTTGAAGACTTCGAAGCTTCTTCTCGGACTGCCATAGTTGCTGTCTTAGTCTTCGATTCTCTTCCACCAGCCTGCTGTTGCGATCACTCTCTGAACCGGAGAACAGGGCCAGCTGCTGCTTGAGCTCGTTGATTTCCAGACTCTGCCGCGCGCGAAATGCTTGCTGAGAAAGTCGGTTGCGCAGCTTCCTGCCAGGGATCGTGCGGTGAGCATCACCAGCAACAGTTGGATCAGACAACAACGGCCATTCACCTACCGCTTTTCTGTCGCTGCATTTGACTTCTTTCGTGGACCAGCACCCGTGCCGACGAACTCTTGTGGTGATGCCATGTAACTCGGGATCTTTTTGGCAGGTCGTGTTTTCCTATTATTGATATGATGGTCCTGTAATCAATCGACGTTAAGGTGCAAGGAACTTCCTGAGAGCCTAAGCAGCCGCTTGGGCGTTTAGAAAAGAAAAATCCACCATTTCCCGCATTCCGGATGGCACTACAGAGATAGCATCCTGGGGATTTGCGGAGGCGCGAACCCCATTGACCTCGGCTTCCCTCTGAACTTCTTATATTGGCCTAGTGCGATAGCACGTCGAGTCATTATCCTTAAGAGCAGCCAGATTTCTGTCATGATTTGAAGTCCATAGCTATCCATGTCAGGAAGGATATTATGTGCGAATCCTGAGGTGCAGAAGCGGATAGAGACGGGACCAAATTGTCTCAAACGAACAAGATGGCCCCCGCATAGTTGTGACATGATTTCGCGGAAACGGCCAGATGACGCAGACAGACCTTTTATCTTCCTATCATGCGTAACGACGGTCAAACCAGGGTGATGCAAAGCTACCAGGGTTGCTCGGGCCCATCAACGCCAATAAGCTCAGACAGCTGGTGCCTATTGCACCACTGAGCCTCAATAGGCAGAGCAGTATGGATGAGCAGCAAGAATCGGCAGTTGCGAGACAGAACGAAATAACAGCAATCCCCAGTGTGGGCGCCAGGTGCAGGACCAAAACCGACTGGCCGGACCTGGCGCTCAACATAAATTCAAGATATTCGGACAGCAACCTGCATGCGTGTGGTGGATGCTCCGAGATGCATTTGCAACTTACATCTGCATTGGCACCGTGTAGGGACATATCGGACCTTCATATGCATAAGGATCGTGCAGACGTTGGTATGGAATCCCGATTGGGGTCTTCGAATTCTAAGCTTCAGCGTCACTTTGCAGCAACAACTGACGTACTCGCTCAAGGAGTAGCTTTACCTTCTCCACCAACCTGGAAAGATCTCTCGGACAGGAGGGCTTCTGTGAGCCTCTCGAGACTTTGTAAAAGTAGCAGATGTCGTTGCAACGTCATTAAGTGATGAAGGGACGTGCTGGTAGAATGACGTGGCTGGGTGGTTTAAACTTTTTCCTTTAAAGGGCGACAAGGCCAAATTTTCATCATCTTCCAGATCTCCAGGTGAGAGACGCATTCTCCATACTGAGCACAACTATCCCCAGGCTGTCAGTGGAAGGATGACGATGTTTCAAGCTGCGTCAATCGACGTTGACACAAGCTTCATCTGGATTACTGTGAAGGTTGCAGCGGGAGATGCCATCTAGGCAGAGCACAAAGGAGCAAGACTTTCGGAAAGCGACGTGCTGGCCTTCAGGATCCGGTGTATTTGGCATCGTCTTCAACGACGGATACCGGTACTCGGACGTGACTCTTGACCTCGACCTCCCAAGAGCAGGGTCTGGTCCAGAAAATAAAGAATCCTTACATGTTTTATTCCTTCCAATTTCCTGTCACACCAAGAACCCCTTACCTCGACAAGGGCCTAAATCAGATCCGAATCCAGGTCCTGTCAGGTCAAAGTAACAATAACGGGTTAGCAGCAACAGGACCTCGATTCGAACCTCCCTCCTCCTGGACTCAACTTATAGAATTCGTAGTATAACCGATCGAGAAAAACCAACCCGAAAGGGTGAGTTTCGCTTCTCATGAACCAGAGTTGAGCTGCTTCATGATAAGTTTTTGCAGATTGTTGAGGCGCTGTAACTGATCACCACCTCCTAGAGTCGAACGCAAGAGATAAAGGTTTGAGCCCGTGTGATTTCGTTGCCGCTATTTTTCCTTGGCGAAGTTCAGGCGTAGGAAAACGTCGACATCGTCGCCGTCCCAGGGGTAGCAGCCTTGGTGGCAACAATATCTATCTCGTTACAGGTCGCTGCACTTACGCTGGGAAAAAAGGCGATTTGCCACAAGGGTGCCTCGCCACTTCAGAAGAAAACTGATCTCTTCGCATGACGAATGGAATAATATCCGATCGGTTGAGAATTCCGAAAATTGAAACCTAGCAAGGGTTCGTCTGTGATGCTATGATCGTCTCCATACGAAGAAGAAAACCTGAAATCCTGAAAATCCTGAAATGGGTGGCACAGCGCTACAACCCACCAGCAAATCGCATGCGTCATATTTAGTCACCACGCCGATTACTCGGCATTGCAAAGTCATGTGGAAGGAGTGGCTGAAGGATGTGGCGGTGTCGTCTCTCAGTGTTTTCGTGGCTGGTGAGTGTGATGGCCTGCAACGAGAGAGGCAAGGCCCTTTCGCGGCATTCCGCGGCCCTGGTGACTCCCTTCTGCGACCGTAGCAGTCAAAAGAAGAATCTCTCACAATCTAGTGAGTAGTACCTCCCACTTGCCTAGATCGGTAGTCCGCCCACCTGCTGTCACCCAGCTGTAGTACCAGGTATGCTTACCATATGTGATTTGCCATGTGGTGATAGTGGCCGGCACCCCTGCATCTGGCACTTGTTGCATTCTCCCCCTCCACTATCCATCTGCGGTGATCGTTGGGAGGGGAGGAGACCGCAAAAGCAACGCTGACCAGGCCAGGTGGTATGGGGACCAATCTCGAAACGCGCCGATGTCTTTCCCATGCTTCAAAGTTGAGTCACTCGCAACACTGTCCCAACAAGGGTAGGAATCGCTGACAAGAAAAAACACCCCAGGAGATCTCGGGGTTGTCCCATACCGATGAATGAAGAATCTGTCTGCACAGCAGTTGAGTTCTGACTGTGTTCCACGGCTAAGATTTCGCCATCGCCTCCGCAACGCAGATAATAGCTATTGAAGGCAATCGGTCCCGCCTCTGAGAAAGTTCAATACCCGAGGCCGTAGTAGTGATTTCAAGGTTGTTACCCACATTTGGAGGCAATACCTACCATAGCAGCCGTAACTTGGACCTCTCCAAGTCATAGAGCTGAGTTTTCCCCAAGGCCGCAAAATAGGCGGAAAATGTGCGAACAAAACCTCGTAGCTTGCCGAAGTTCGGCAGAACTCCGTACGAGACAACCACCATCTTCGTAGGACATGATTGGCCTTTGGTTGATCTCGGAAACTCTGTTTGAGGGAATACCCGATGTTCGGAGAACAAAGCTGCAAACTACCAGGTAGGTGACAGAAGGAGAAAAAATCTGCAAAGCCTCGGATCACCCCAAAGTTTAAGGCGTTTGTTCACAAACAAACACCGGTGCAGAAGCCGGAGCGAATTCCGGTGCATCCATCCAACCAACACTGACATTCTTCTGCGAAGAAGTTTGAAGATTGTAGCATTGGAGGAGAGAAAAGGAGAATGGTGCGGTTGGTGCTGTACAGTTCGTCATGATTTCGAGACATACGCTGGAACCGGTTGGAATGTTGGTAAACAAGCGGTGACGAGTGGGTGAGCGGTGACGACTGGATCTCGTATGTAATCAGCCTGAAAGCCGGAGCAAAGCAGCAGGTAAGAGCTGGCCGTCCGACGGAAGGCGACGGTCGCCCTGGCAAGCTCTCATCGCGATTGAACAGCAGATCGACTGTCTGACTGGCGTTCATGCTGAGTGCGCGCCGAAGGACCTCTCGACATCATCACCATCAGTACTATTAGAAAGCGACAGAGTCTTCAGTCGCATGAATGTCTCGAGAAGCATCATGTGAAAGTGGTGCGGAATTGACCATCGGTCCATCGGTGGATTTCTTTTCCCCAGGATTGATCGGCGGATTCTTTTCTCCCGGGAGGTACCGAACACCTTGGGGGAAGAGACAGCTGCATGGACGGGCCCCCCTAGTCCTGTCCTGCCTCCTGCATAGACGTTGTAGTCGTAAATAACGGCGAAGGAACTCCTTTGACGTGTGCTGTGCAGTCACGGAAACCTGAGGGCTGCGGGTCGAGGTAACAGTATTGCCCTGAACCGAGGGTACTCGGTACATACTTGCCTTTGCTCACATACTGGCCCCAGGAGATCATCCGGTCAAATGGGTGATCAGCATCAAACATCGAGATCGGTGGATTCATCACAAAGGGAATGGTGAATGTGTGAGAGGGACTCAAGAAATGCAACCAGAAGCTTCACCCTTGGACTTGGACACTCGACGCCCCTGGGCCAAGGTGTGAGTCATTAAGGGGGAATAACCAGAGAAGAAAACCACAAACGAAAGGAAAGCCATGTTTATGTGTTCAATAATAGATATATTAAGCTAATAATACTAAACCAGAGGACTCTGTACTTCTTGAGTTTCCTCGGTGGGTGAAGAGGGAGTCATATTGATTGACTCAACCATGTTCAGATCATATCCAATCAGCCATGTAGGCGGGGGTATCGTAGGCCGTGTCCAATTCTCAAGATATGCAAACAAACTGCTCGAAATAGAGCCAGTATGAAGCCGCTCGCTGGAAAAAATGCGCTTGCTAGACAAAAACACAAGAACCAATGAAGCCAGGGCCAGCCCAGACTCATTTCCTTCACTGAGGGCCATTCAGGCAACTCGTGCCACGACGTTGGTTGGTCTGACGTCTCTTGAGGGCACTGGCGCTGGGTCGGCGAGACTTGCTCGCGCTATTGGTGTCCTGGTTGGCGAAGCGCACGACTCTGCGTTTTGCGTCCGCGTCTCGTACGTAGTGGGCTTCTGCCTGGGGGACGTTGGAGGCAGCCTCCTTCTCTTGGAGTTCCCGCAAGAAGGCGATTTGTTCTTCGGTGGTAAGTTCCTTCTTGGGTGCAAGAGCCGGGATAGTCTCCACAGGAAGACCGAGGTCTTCTGCAGGGCACAGAAGGTCATCGTCAGAAAGATATGAGTTGGGCTCGGCGCCAAACGATGACATGCATGACCTGTATGGACTAGGCATCCAGGTGGAGTTGCTGCTGTCGCGTCGCATGGCGATGGATTGTGTTTGCGACGAAGAGGTCGAGTTGGATGCATTGCTGTCTGTTCGTGCAAGAGCTTGAGAGGTTGGCCACGCCGAGCTAGGGGACGCGCATACAAGGGCCGTGTAGGCAGAAGTAGGCGCGTAAGAATAGGTGTTTGAGGACGTGGAGTCGCGCGAGTCTGAGCGCGACATAGCCACCGATGTCATGGCCGGGGTAATGTTGGAGGTGGGCGACGAGAAGAACATTTTGCTGTCTGTACGAGGTGGAAAGGGAGAAGGAGGGTGTTGTAAGACGCGACGAGTATGTCGAGTTTGATATACAAGCACAGAGTTTGGGGGGGCCGTGATGTTATTATTATGGGTGTTGACGGTAGCCAGATCCCGGATTCGGATTCCCAGTTTGCGGGAGTTTGAGTGGCAATGGATGGGCTGGGTGCGGGTGGTGATGCAATGTGCGAGTAATATGTTTGCGTCGAGTCAAGCCCCCGGAACTGGGTCGGCTAAACGACCTGGAGTTCAGGAGAAGACCGGAGAACGGTGACTCGGCGTGATGGGGTTTGTGATCGGTTGACTTGCCGCTGCTGCTCGCCTCGGTGGTTGGCCCGGTTCGGTCAGCGTGGATGTAAATGGAATTCCAATGGTCAATATATGCCTCGTCAGGGCGGCTGTGCTGGGTGCCAGGTTGCGAAGGGCGTTGCAGGTTGGTACCTGGAAGTGTTTCGAAGATCCAAAGGGGGGGTGGGAAGAATCCTCGTTATTAATGTTTGTCCTGGGCGCGAGGGTGGTAGACACCAATGAGTCGTATCACTGTTTTGCCCCTTCTCCGTGCCTTTTTTCTTTTATTCCTTTTGGGCTATGGAGAATGGCGAAAACCCGATGGAGCGGTGCGACCTCGGGTCTGGGACGGGAAAAGAGACAAACGGGGTTCGGAGGATGGGCCCCTTGTAGTACGGGTCGTACGTTGGTAGCGTATGTTGCGTCCGGGTTGTGGGGGTGGGAAAGCAAGCGGCAAAAGGTTTGTCGCTTTTGGCACCCGTGTCGATGGGTTCCGCGGGTGGCTAGCGATTTCGCGTCTGAGTGGCTGGTTTCAGACACGTCGGAATTGGCGGACCGTTGAGGTGATGGACGCAGGGGGTTCGATAGCGGTGTCGATTGTCGATAGTGGGATGCGGTCCCGGTTCAACCAAAGTGAGGAAAATTGGCTTGGTGATGGTGTTCTGAGGTTGATGGAAGATGAGTTTCAAAGGTGATCGAGGACAAGGAGGCAGACAGGCAGGAAAGGAGGATTATAACAGCCGCGTGTCAACAGTCAACAGTCAACAACGGGAAGAAGGCAAACCCCCAAACTGGATGATTTGTTGTCCTTGTCCGCAGCGCTGACTGTCGGTCAGTAGACCGCCTGAAAGAGGGTTGGATTCCGATTGTGCGTGGAGGGTGAAAGGTGAAGGGTGAATGTGACACTGAGTCGAGCCCCCCTTCAGCCAGGCAACCGAGGGCGAGTGACAGAGCTAGGCTCGTAGGCTCGAGGCGCAAGCCACGGGGGCTTTAACGAGAAGCAGCCAAGGGGGTCGAATGGGAGAATCCCAGACAAGCCACGAACGTGGGTTGGACGAGAATGTGTGTCTTGGAAGCTGAGGCCGAGAATGAATCAAATTCGAGCAACAGGATTTGGCGGTGACAAGGGTGAGAGTGCGGCGAGGCGGGTTTTTTGGACCAGAGAGAAACGGCCTCGACGGAGCTGAGGAAGATGGAGCCTGGGCTACGGGTCGTACTGGCTGGTGGCCGCGTGGGCTTGGCGGGCAGAGGAGTCAGTGCGCAAAGCCTAGAGGAGCCGAGATCTCTCCCGATGAAATCCCTAGACCCCCGAAGAGCCCCTAGCACCCACCGAGAGTGCCCCTTCGCAAGGGGGACTTGGGGGACTTCCAGGCTTCCAGGCTGCTGTCTAAGCTACCTACCTAGGTAGGTACCCCACGCCCTCTGGACCCAGTGTCTGACTCGCCAACAAAGAAGTCAAAGGGGGTCACAGGCTCACAGCTGCCCCCGGCTAAACAGCACCTTTGGCCAGTCCCACGCGACAAATGCAGGGCCAGGTCGAGATTCGTGCTGGTAAAACCAGTCTGATCCCTCCTATCATCACACAGATGTGCTAATTCAGGATGCCAATTTGCGAGACCGGGCAATACAGTGATAGTGATGGGTTACGGCCGGAGAAGGATTCCCACGGCGATTCGCAGCACGAGTACGGCGTACGTGTACCGTCAAAGTCTCGTTGAGGTCAGACGGACTCTCTTTGGTCGTTGGTATAGCACTACGAGTATGTTCCCGATTTAGCCAGAATGCAGCACACAGCATAATCATAGCAAGACACAACCAACAAGGGTGCGATGACTCAGGCACATCGAAACTATTCACGTGGAAGTTGGTGGTATACCGCCGCATTCGGACATCCGGTGTGATGATTGCAAACAGGGATCGGGTCATCCTTGTGGCTGCGACTCTGCGAGGGCTATGTCCTCCGTACTACGACGCCCGGGTGATACAAGGCGCAAGGAGCGTATACCTGTTATTTGCAACACCACGCCAACCCCCAAAATAGGCTTTTTGAAGATCAACAACCATGCCGTGTCTTATTATTATCATTACAGCCCATCACCATCAGCATCATCATCACCGGTCTGTCATCCCCTTCTAGACCCTGAGTAAGAAGGCATTAGCCATCGCAAACGACCACCACACAAGCTACAAACTGGTTTGCTGGCACGCGCCGGAAACGATTACTTCAGCGGGCAGCGACCCTGGCCAGCCCCCAAGCCTGTGGGATTACCGGATGAGGAAGGGGACTCGACGTATAACTAATTAACCAACAAAGAGCCAAGAACGAGGTTGAGCCGTAGTGCCGTTGCCTAAACTTGCCTTGTTGTTGCGAGCCGGTTGATTATTACAAACCGGATGCTGAGTTCGGTTTACCTGTAGTACGAAGTAGCTCTGAGAGCCTGAGTAAGGCGTGATTATTCTGCCACAAAGTGTAAACACCTAGGTTGCTGGCTATGGTATACAACGTCATATCATTTGCTTCATCCCACGCGGCCATGGTCAAACAGACTTTCCTTGTTTTCTGTTTGTTGCTTTGTTATTATTCTTTGCTTTACGAGAAACGTTGGGATTTTTGCTTTTCTCCCCCCACCAATGGCCACGGTACCATGGTATCATTTTCCCTCACCTTGAGCTCTCGGCAGATGCTCATGGCCAACACATCAAGAGAATACTAGGTACCTAGGTAGGTATGAGTCAGGCCTCTGGAGTCCAGGACTTGAGCTTTCTCCAATTCTGGGGCGCAACCCAAAGTTGCTGCCCAACTCCGTGCACCGCACAAAAACAAAAGCTTAAAGGGCAGCCACTCACCGATGCTTCCAACACTCCCTTGTCGGTCGTTTCCGGGCGCCAGAGAACGAAACTTGACTTAACTAAAAGATACCCCTTCGCGGGGCTCACCAGGTCCATTAGGCTAGTCGGTGGGCTCTTCTCGTGGACAAGGCGACGAAACTTGCCGGGACGTTGTAACCCCGATGCCTCGGGGATGGATGCCTCAAGGGATGGTAGCCAGTTTGGCGTTTTCAAAGACACATACGAAATTGTCACTGCCTGGTGTTCACATGTAGGTGCCTGGTGTCTCGCAACACAGAAGGAAAAAGGCGAGACGGAACCGACCAAAGGCTGTGCGGTCTTCACCTTGCCTCCCCGTACTCGTAGGTTGCCTTCGTCACCATGGCAAATGCTGTGGAACTATTGGGGATTGCATTGCCTCCTCTAGCAACTATCAGACGCAATTTCTCAGAGTATCAAGATACCTACGAGAACGACAATTCACAGGTAAGGAGTACGGAGAACATGGTCCAGACTGCCCTCGCCCCTTCCTCCGCACCTTGCGGATCGGCAGAGTTTTGCGTGATTCGAGTCATTGGGGGCACGTCGAGGTTCCCCGAGACTAGCCCCAAGTACCTTCCCACCAAATTTTGGCTGAGAGGTACCTTTCACCGTATCTGGAGATACCTCGGCCACCCCAAACCCACTATGCAGCAATTTTCTTTCGTTTTTTATCGTTCCTTTGCCTCTGCTCTCTTCACTGTGACTTCACCGAGTCTCCAAAGGCGAAACTTGATGTTTCTCCCCTCCTCGGCTCTCCCGTTCGATGGTTACTTGCAAGGGCCGTTCTCCAAGGGCACCATCCCGTGGCAAAGGCCAATCTTCCAGAAGGATTTTGGAACAATGTCCCAAGTCATTGCAACGACGGGGAACGAAATGGTGGATCAACGGCGCAAGCAACGGTCCCTCTCCTGAACCGACTAGAGATCGAACTCCATTCAGCCTTCTGGGTAATTCACCCATGCTCTAAAACAACAAAAAGACCCATAAGCCGGTAGTACTAAAGTGCCCAGAATGCCACCACTCAACCCCGTCAGACCCATCTCAAACCCGCTCAGACAGACTCCACTGCTCTTGGTGGATGGGACCCATCATACCCAGTTCTCTGGAAGAAAGGTAGGGGTTGCTCGCACAGTATCGAATTTCGCTTGTCATCCAATTAAAATACGCGCTGTGTGCTGCTGGAGTCCTCCTGAAGGCTCGTCGTGAACGGCTGTTCCGATTTTCTTTCATTCCGACAAAGTTTTGCTTTCGAACTTTCAATGCTGGAAGTTCCCAGAAACCGATCCGACTAATACCAACTGCTCGTTGCTTCAAACCGAGGTGCCGAGCGGCATTATTCAATGCCAGACCCAGTCCTTCTTACCTCGATTCTCAACAACCCGGTCCGCTGTCGGCGTTGAGCAGACGATCAAAATCCCCACTAACCCCCAAAATCACTTTTTGCGTCAGTACACGAATTCCGATCGACCGTACTCAGCAAGTCTAGAGAAGTGCAGGCCGTTTCGTATCTGGACCGATGGACAGCCTTCCATGCTGGGCACGCAACATGGCCAGGCAAACACGAGGAAAAGGCAAATTATAAGACTGCCCAATGGAGACAACGCCTTTTGGCCGGTTACTCGCCATTACTGACTGCAGTGCGTCGCCATTCATCTGTCCAGTTGTCAAAAGACCCTTGGTTGACAGCCAGCCAGTTGGCGACGCGGGCCGGCACTGACACACAGGTGTTGATGATCATCTCTGCGTCGTGTCACACCTTTGCTCTCAAGATAGCAATTGCGTGGGTGGCACATGGTGCGCATGCAGGCCATGTTTGTCAGATATGCAGGGTCTACCAACCCGTCTCACACATGTCCAACATGACTTGCTGCTACAGCCCTGCAGAGTGCAGCTGACACTGGCATGAGCTGAGCCTCGTTTCTTTGGCGTGTTCTTGTCCATGTGCTGGCGCGGCAGCATGTGACGGTATACGACTCTGACTTGCAGCCGCAATAAACAATTGTTCTGATCGGGCATCACCCGCCTGCCTCGACGGCAGGGCGAGGCGAACAATCATCAATAGTAATACTGGCCCTGTTCTTTTTTGCTTTGTCCGAGTCAGAAAACGACCCGGGCGGCCATTGTCCGCAAACTCAAAAGTGCCTCGCACGGAGCCTTACTCTTTGACTTTCGTGCGTAGCGAAGCTGTACCCTTCCATTCACGCGCGAAAGGGTGCGCGCCTATTTCTCTCTCCGGCTTATTCTCTAGAGATGCGGAGCCGTCTGCGAGATCGAGGGGGGCCTAGGGAAATGGCGGCTCCCCGCTTCTCCAGGACGAGCCAGGCCTGCAACAGTCGACAACGCTGATCGATTTTGCGACAACCCCGCAACTTTCAACCACGGGCTGCACGCCTTGTCGGGCTTGGGGAACCATTCTCCGCAAAGGAACAGTTCTGTGCAATCTCGCATTCCATCATGGATGGGGGCTCGCATCGGGTGAGTGTCTCCCTGAGACTTTAGGTCTGCTTCCGGTCGGTTTGCTCGCCCTAATCCGAAGGACAAAACTTGATTTCTCATGCCAAAGGTGACCGACCCGTGAGAAGGGTCGATACAAAGATACCGCGAATATCGGCCGAAGACCGCACGGTCATAAACGACCAGCGTGGAAGATCGGCAAGGTCAACGAGCAGGATCATCCCTCAGCTGTACTGGACGCTGGCCTGGAATGCACTGGATGCCCGGGCCATCCAAGGCGGTCTCTACCATCAACGCGAGCCAATACGACCCTGTGCAACCCCGCAGCGCACAGTGTGCAGCCTAGAATTGCTTCCAAAGGGGAGACTAAATGTACCCATTTCCATCTAGATCAGTTCATTCTCACGTGTCGTTCGAGCAAACAATGCAAATGGCAGGCCTTGTCCTTTGTCGAGATCCCACTTTGGTCCAGACACTCGAGCCCTCTGCAAGGTCCAAAGCCCAGACTCCTCCTCATTGTTGACCTGAAAAGAATGCATCCGCCTAAGAAGTAGGCTGCTCGCGTAATTCTTTGTTCGCAGAACTGGAATTTCACCCCACGCGACAAAGGTTCGAGACAATCGCCAGCCGTGTCCAGCCAGCCTGGGCGAGCTCTGCGGATCGTTGCGAGCAAGCAAGTCGCAAATTCACTGCACTCAGTTTGCCTGGAATTTGCGGTCCACCTCCTTGACAGGGCGAAGATGTGGCTGCATGCAGCATCATGAGACTTGCTCTACTCCCTACTCACAGTTTGATCAGAAAATCCGTGCACCCGTCCTCGAGCTAGGGACTGCGAAGAAAGGTAGATGGCACTCTTGCTCCCTGGAGATGAGCCACGTCGCCCTGAGGTAGGTGGGTAGGTTTCAACCACAGTTGAAATACACGTGTGAGGCTGCTGGCGGGTGGTGGTGAAGTCAAAATGGGTGAATTACTCAACTTGGCATCTTCGGCACTGGCTACAGATAGACTTACTCCGTTGTCACATCTGTCATCGTCAGGGGTCCTGGCTGATTTGTGACAACAGACAATGTGAGTGAATGGATATGGACGTCCTCGTCCTCGAAGAAGAATCCTTTTTAAAGCCTTTTGCACCACCAGGAGGACATTGTGAGCGCCCAGACCAGACGCCGCGGGAGTCGAGGTTCTCGGGGGTCTTGTAGAATGTTCATGTATGTATGTCGTAGCCTACATACTAGGCAGCTGCGGCATTCTTGACGTAGAATTACAACCTGACGGACCTCGATCCATCCACTATATTCTCCAGGTTCTGTCTCCGGCATCCTCATCCACTCTTGCATCTGGGGGCCATGACTGTCTTGCTGCCGCTTTTGTGGACGAGCACGAGTCATTCAACTCTGGTGATAGAGCAGCGAGAAGCTTCTTGTGAGGGCGCTGCTTTAGACAGACCCTGCCCGTCTCCGCTTTGACATTCTCATCTTTCCTTCCGTTTATGGCTAGGTACATTGGGCTCCGCGATCAATGATCGTAGCCAGAAAGGCTTCATTCATACATTTCAATGAAGACCGAAGAACATATGACAGAGAGCGAGAGGAGGGTTATTGGGAATCACACCTCTTGTCTTCATGATAGATGTACGAGGTAAGTAGAGGAATACTCCCAAAGGTCCTCGTCGTGGTGTGGCAGGCCTTGTCAAGGGGCTCCAGCTCAGAGGAATTGCGATGGCTATTGAATCACAACGTGGGTGCGGAGCCAAAGCCAATCCAACTCATCCCTATCCCAGTATAGCCCGTTTCACGTATTCGTTTTCAGATGGATCGTTGCTACGTGAATTCAGCGACTCCGCATCTCTATCCGCACCTTGGGTTCCTAGCTGCGAATCGAGACCAAGAATGGAAGACTCGGAGCAAGGAGTGGCGCTGGCCGTTGGCGCGTGCTGTGCACAGTATGAGCGTGAAGACTGAATTGTAAGTATGAGCTCGGACGGGCCACGCAGTCAGTCTAGATTGATTGAGCATCTGAATCCCTGCTGCTGCTACGCAAACGAGAACCAAGTCCATATCATCCCACTTACCAAGTATGGTCGGTTCTGCCGTGCAGCATCATGATGTCCACAATATTTCTCCTGGCCAGCGGTCGCGAGATGGCGGAGGACACAAGCCCGTCAACTACAAACCAATGGTCGCCAGCGAGGCATGAACCTGCCCATGCTTTGCTTCCCAGCCCGATAGTTGTCGCTGTGTTTGAATATGAAAGGGGCCGAGCACGGCAGACCTTGGAACTGCGGGTCCTAACACGCAAATTTCATCCTGGCTGCTTTCACAAGCCACATTATGAAACTTTGTATCTGTGATCGAGCCAACCAGGAATGAAACAGAATGGCATTGAGCTGTTTGAGCAGCTTGCTGAGAAAAGGAGACCAGAGGAAATGCTCAGTGTCAGTGAGCGCAGAATTTTGCGGGTGGCATGAGTGAGATCCGCGGGCGTTCAAACCGCAATTGCTTCTCTCCATTCAACTCAACTGCGCCTCTCCGTGTACCATATCGTCTGACATGACTCTTGTCAAAGCACTGGAACAACAGCGGCGATTGTCACACTAAGCAACACCTTAATCTTCCAGCCTCTTCCAAGTCTCGTATCCGTCGCGGGCCTCATCGTCAGCAAATCTTCACATCAGGTGTCTGGAGACCCCAGTCTTCTGAACGTGAGCCATATAACTTCCTTAAGCTCAATCTGTTGTCGAAACTGACCTGAAGCCACTCCGAACTGGTTCAAATAGCGAGGACGACATGTGTCATACATTCTTTCGGCAGAAGAAGAGGCGGCAAGGCCTTTTGAAATCACGGACGCTGGCCACAAAGGAAAAGTAGCAGAAGCAATTGCCACAGCCCAACTGTCCCAGAAGAATTGAATCGAATAAGCGAGAAGCGTTGGAATTTCGAGATTAGCAAGCGGACAAAGCGAAGAACGACAACCGTGAACTGATTGCCAGAAACAGTAGTGAGCCCCATAGAAGGAGTCAGAAATGATCTGAAGGAAGAGTGAGATAGGCAACTGCCCCTTCCAATTCCATTATTGGAAAATGCATCGCGACCACACGCTTACTGCTGGCTCCGATGATGCTGGGTACAGCAGACAGGGTGGACGACCGTGAGAAGAGGCGGAGAAGCAAGGCGCATACTGTGGCAGTGATCTCAGGGCTGCATTCAGGTAGAATTTGGGCTAGGCATGCCTGTGAGATTATTCAGCCTTGTGTTGATGATGGGAAGGAGCTGGCACTGCAGTAGTCGAGAAGGCTGAAGGCAACGGGGTAACACACGGAGCGACCCTCCGGTTATATGCGAGTGTCCGCGGAGCCCGTATCCGGGTCCTTTTTGGGGAGAGTGGGTGAAGCATGCACATCTCGGAAAGGAATTCGAGAAAGATACGAGATCACGTGGCTTGCACTTGCCCAAAAGGTGCTTGTGCAAGCATAATGAGCGAATAACTTCGGGACCGGAACCAGGGAGAGTGCACAAAAGGCCCCCTATTCCCCTGTGACATCGGCGTCTCGGGTGTGGAGGTGGTTCCTTCCGTGCATCTGGCAGCCGGTTGGCTGTAGAGGGGGCGATCCCAGCAGGGCATGCCGGTGCCTGGAATGCCTGGAGCAAGCCCAAAGCCGAGACGCCAAAGCCACCCGACAGCCAACCACGGGGCCCCAACGGCGCCCCAGCGGGCCCCTAATCGTACGATGGCGCCCACAGGCTCGTGGCTCGTCCACTCAGGGCGCATCGCCACGGAAATCCCAAGCGGGCTTTGGGTTCGTATTCACGTATACCATGCCCACCTGGTCGTGCGCTTTGCCTTAACCTGGGAAAAACTGGGTGCAGGCAAATGATAGCCCACACGGTGATGCGCTTCGTCGAGATTGCAGAGCACAAGCTGGCAAAAGATGCCCAGCTGCCCATCGGAAACTAAACTCTGTCTAGCTGTGTCAGTACCACATTCCCTTTGTCGTCACTTATTGGGTTAATGCATGGCATGCTCTTGTCCCCTGTTCCCGCGATTTCGACCGAAAATCCGACAACGGGACTGGAAAAAAAAACAACCACCATGACTACTAACGACAATTGACGTCCATCCTTCATGATACCACTTGTTGCATTATCAGTTGCTTGCACGCTCTTCCCATCTTCTCGGGTGTATTAATCCCACCGGTTTCATTAATCTCTTCTGCCTAATTGTTGGTGTGTATATGAGCATTGGCGTTTCTTTTACCCTGCGCCACCACATACTGCCCACCCCAACTTCCTATTACCTCGAACCGCGTCCACTGTTATTGTTATTGTCCATGCCTTGATTAGATCTCATCAATCATGACCACTCCTCTCGTGGGCAACATCACCACAAACTACGACCGGAGCCGTCGAATGTCCGGTGCCTCTCCTGACAACCAGGTCACAGACTACCCTTATCTGGACCGAACAACTTCTTCGGGGGGTGGTGTTGTGGTCGACGAGAGCCATGAAACCAACCGGGAAATCCAGCACCTTGCCCGGCAATATTCCCGCGTTTCGACCGCTGCAGAGCCCGGATATCACCCTTTCGATGAGGCGAGCGTCGGTACCGAGATTGATCCCAACTCGGACAACTTCAATGGCAGGGCCTGGACAAAGGCCATGCTGAAGCTCCAGAAGCTGTCCGGCCAGGAAAATGTCGGTCGAAAGGCCGGGTTCGCCTTCCGCAACCTCTCGGCTTTTGGCTACACCAAGGGCAGTGACTTTCAGAAGACGGTCGACAATTATCCTCTGGCCCTGATGGATATGGCACGGGGCCTCTTCGGCCACAAAGGCCAACGCGTGGACATTCTACGGGACTTCGAAGGTGTGGTGCAGCCGGGCGAGATGCTCGTCGTCCTCGGGCCCCCTGGCTCTGGTTGTTCCACCTTCCTCAAGACCATCACGGGCGAGACTCATGGTTTCAACCTCAGTGAAAATTCCTACATCAACTATCAAGGCATTGGCTACAAGAAGATGCACCATGATTTCAAGGGCGAAGCTATCTACACGGCGGAGCAAGACGTCCATTTCCCTATGTTAACGGTCGGCGACACGTTGCTCTTTGCAGCCCGAGCCCGGACGCCGCAGAGTATGAAGCTGCCCCCAGGTGTCACCAAGACAATGTACGCAGCTCATCTACGGGACGTGGTCATGGCCATCTTTGGTATCAGACACACCGTCAATACCAAAGTCGGTAATGACTTCGTCAGGGGCGTCAGTGGCGGTGAAAGAAAGAGAGTGTCAATTGCGGAGGCAACATTGAGTTATGCCCCTCTCCAAGCTTGGGATAACAGCACGCGAGGTCTTGATTCAGCCAACGCCATCGAGTTTTGCAAAACGCTCCGGACCTCGACGGACTTGAATGAAACGACTGCGGCTGTTGCCATTTACCAGTCGCCACAAAGTGCCTATGACTTTTTCGACAAGGTGATTGTTCTCTATCAAGGTCGCCAGATCTATTTCGGCCGCACTACCGAAGCACAGAAGTACTTTGAGGATATGGGTTTCGAATGTGCCAAACGCCAGACCGTCCCTGATTTCCTTACCTCCATGACCAATCCGATTGAACGCCTTGTCAAGAAGGGATACGAGTCGCAAGTGCCTCGCACGCCAGACGAGTTTGCTGAGCGATGGCAGAAGAGCGAGGCACGCCAGAGAATGTTGCAGGAGCTGGATGCCTTCGACAAGGCCAACCCTATTGGGGGCCCCAATCTGCAAGCTTTCCAGCAATCTCGTCGAATCCAACAGTCAAAAGCTCAACGGAAATCTTCTCCATACACCTTGTCGTATGGGAGCCAAATCAGATTGTGCCTCTGGCGTGGCTGGAAGCGACTTATGGATGATCCTGCCATTACACTCACACAGCTTTTTGCTAACTGTATCAACGCTCTTGTGGTTTCTTCCTTGTTCTACAACCTACCGGCAAACAGTGACTCACTCCGATCTAGAAGCTCACTCATCTTTTTCGCGGTATTGCTCAACGCATTTGGCAGCGCTCTGGAGATCCTTACACTGTACGCACAGCGCCCGATTGTCGAAAAGCATCAGCGATATGCACTTTACCACCCTTCGGCCGAGGCCTTTGCATCAATGCTCACAGACGTACCCTCAAAGACTCTCAACGCTATCGGCTTCAATTTGATTCTCTACTTCATGACAAACCTTCGACGGACCCCTGGTGCCTTCTTTTTCTTCTTGTTCACCACATATACCTTGACCTTCACCATGTCCATGTTGTTTCGCTTCATCGCGTCAGTGTCGAGGTCTCTAGTGGAAGCTATGGTCCCAGTTGCTGTCTTGATGATCTCTATTGTCGTGTACACGGGTGAGCAATAGAGGGTCCTTTTTCTTCCAGATTTGGTGACTGACTCCTGAGTTAGGTTTCGTTATCCCTGTGGACTATATGCATGGGTGGGCTCGTTGGATAAACTACATCAACCCGACAGCATATGGATTTGAAAGTCTGATGGTGAATGAATTTCACAATCGCGACTATCCTTGTTCAACATTCGTCCCTCCAGCGCCACAGTTTGGAAATGGCTCGACCACGGCCCAAATCTGTACTGTCGTTGGTTCCGTGGCCGGCCAAACCGCAATCGACGGCGACGCTTACATCAATATCTCGTACAAATACTATGCGGCCCACAAATGGCGCAACATTGGCATCTTGTTCGTGTTCATGATTGGACTCTGTGTTATGTACTTGGTTGCAACCGAGACGGTGACCGCGAAGAAGTCCAAGGGTGAAGTGTTACTCTTCCGCCGAGGCCACAAACCGGCTTTCTTGAAAGAGCGCGCGTCTGATACGGAGTCGGGGGGCTCCGACCCAAACCTGGTTGCTCTCGAAAGGAGGCAGACGAAGGACGAACAATTGACACGACAAGTCAGTGCTGTGATCCAGAAGCAGACTGCTATCTTCCAGTGGAGAGATGTCTGCTACGATATCAAGATTAAAGGCCAACCACGTCGAATTCTCGATCACGTTGATGGTTGGGTTAAACCAGGAACTATGACAGCTCTAATGGTATGGCCTCCCCGGAAATCTGACAATCCTCTTTTGGCTAATGTTGCGACAGGGGGTTTCAGGTGCGGGCAAGACTACTTTGCTCGACTGTCTGGCAACTCGTGTGACAATGGGTGTTATCACGGGCGAAATGCTGGTCGATGGAAGGCAACGCGACGAGTCCTTCCAGAGAAAGACAGGCTACGTGCAACAGCAGGACTTACATCTTGAGACAAGTACCGTACGAGAGGCTTTGCGCTTTAGCGCCATCTTACGACAACCGAGAAACGTTCCTCGGCAGGAAAAGATCGATTACGTCGAAGAGGTTATCAAATTGCTGGACATGCAGGAGTACGCTGACGCTGTGGTTGGAGTACCAGGTGAAGGTATGTGCAACTCAACCTAACCGGTCTATTTCGTGGTTCTCAAGTTCTGACTCGTGATGCCGTAGGTCTCAACGTGGAGCAGCGGAAGCGGTTAACAATCGGAGTAGAGCTCGCTGCTCGACCTCAACTCCTTCTCTTCCTTGACGAACCTACCTCCGGCCTTGATTCGCAGACTTCCTGGTCTATACTGAATCTTCTCGAGAAGCTGACAAAAGCTGGCCAAGCTATCCTATGTACCATTCACCAACCGTCCGCCATTCTATTCCAAAGATTTGACCGACTCCTATTCCTTGCCGCCGGTGGCAAGACTGTATACTTTGGACCGGTTGGCAAGGACTCCAATATCTTGATTGATTATTTCGAACGGAACGGCGCACACGAATGTCCACCTGGCGCTAATCCCGCTGAATACATGCTCGAGGCGATTGGTGCAGCTCCCGGATCTCATTCCGATATCGATTGGTTTCAAGTCTGGCGCAACTCGCCCGAGTACCAAGAGGTGCAGCGAGAATTGGAAGAGATGAAAACCGAACGGTCTGAAATGGTGGCCCCGACTTCACCAAACAAGGCCGATTACTTCGAGTTTGCTGCGCCTTTTACTGTGCAATTCTGGGAAACACAGAAACGGGTTTTCGAGCAATATTGGCGGACCCCAGAGTATATCTACTCCAAGCTCCTGCTGTGTTGCCTCACGGTGTGTATTGGCCTGGCGCTTCAATTCCCATGTTGATGCTGACTGTGTCGCCAGGGTCTGTTTATCGGTTTCTCACTCTTCAAGGCTCCGAATACTCAACAGGGGCTTCAGAACCAGCTCTTTGGTATTTTCATGCTGTTGATCCTATTCTCGCAGCTCGTGCAACAAATCATGCCTCTCTTCGTCACACAGCGCAGTCTGTACGAAGTGCGTGAGCGACCTTCCAAGGCTTACTCATGGAAGGCGTTTATGCTATCGAATATTCTCGTCGAACTTCCCTGGGCGACGTTGGGCGCCGTGATTTTGTTCTTCTGTTGGTACTACCCTATTGGGCTGTACCGAAATGCCGTATACACCAAGACTGTGGCCTCACGTGGAGCAACGCAGTTCTTGTTTGTGCTGGAGTTTCTCCTGTTCAGCAGCACCTTTGCGCACATGTGAGTATCTCTGAGAGACGAAAGTCTTGCCAAGGATTCGTCTTCCTGAAACAGGCACATTCCGATGCTAACGAACTACGCAGGATGATTGCAGGGATTGCGACAGCAGAGACGGCCTCCAACATTGCAAACGTCCTGTTCTCTCTTTGCCTTCTGTTTAACGGTGTCTTGGTCGGCCCCAGAGCCATGCCCGGGTTTTGGATCTTCATGTACCGAGTGAGGTAAGTGACGGACAGATTTTCCATTATTCAAGTGAAAGCTTAACTAACGCACCATCCCAGCCCCTTTACGTATCTTGTCGAAGGACTTTTAAGTGTAGGGATCGCACACGCACCAGTTACATGTGCCGCCAACGAGTACCTCCACCTCACCGCGCCCGCCGGCAAGACATGCAGCGAGTACCTCGGCCCCTTCATCAAGCAAGCGGGCGGCTACCTCCTGGACCCCAAGGCCGCGACGCACTGCCAATTCTGCACCGTCAACAGCACCGACACCTTTCTGTCACTGGTCAGCATCTCCTTCTCGCATCGATGGCGCGATTTCGGCATCCTGTTTGTGTACATTGCGTTCAATGTCTTTGCCGCGGTGGCGATTTACTGGTTGGCCAGGGTGCCCAAGGGGAAGAAGTACGCGGGCGGCAAGGATGCGGACAAGAGCAAAGCGTTGGTCAAGACCCTGAGCAATGCGAGCCAGGGCCAACAGCACGGCTCCGGTGGGCACCACGAGAAGAGCCCTGCCGTGCTCGGCGGCGGCGCGTCTTCGGAGAAGGATGACCGCCGCACGACCCCCTCACGCTCCACGGACGACTCGGACATCGACGACAGCGATCGGTCTGTTGGGGAGAAAGGCCCCGCCTACGCGATCGAGAAGAGAGATGAAGAGAAACGTCAGGTGAAAGAGGACGAAGTCGCCGCCACCGCCGTGCCATCGTCTGCCGGAAATTCAACAAGAGAAGAAAATGCAGTCGCGGCAGAAACTGCACAGAGACCGACCACGGAACGCTTCGTCACGGCACCGCAGTTCTGAAGACGTTTGTCCGTTCGAGGCCTGCTTTTTTGATCTTTTGTTCGCTTGTACTGTATATATCACTATTGTCTATTGTCTATTGCCCATTGTTATTTGTTATTATCTATTATCTATTGGTATGGATATGGGTCTGGGTATTGGTATTAACATAAGTAGCCATTGCAGGCGTCCCTTCTGCTGCTGCTGCTGCCGCGTTGCTATATTGCACCATCATTGCCGGACCAAGGGTTTGATTTTTCTTTCCAAAAATTCCTATTTTCGGTGGGCGCGCGAAAGGGGGGGGTTAACATGGGGGAAGGGAGAATATTATCTCGTGTCTATGGACAGCAACTTATTCCAAGACACATGACCCCGAGAATGAAATAGATTAGATAGACCCACCACAACCTGGGCCGTCGGCGGGATTTGTTTGCAGAGCGCTAAGTCCAAAGGCAAAACCAAACGGATATAGATAAGATATATACAGAGAGAGAGAGATGTGCAGAGGAGGCTCCTCAACTCAACTCAATCACATAAAGCCCCCTTTGGGGATCTTCACCATGTTCTTCTGGCTCCACTCACTTCGCTTCACCGGGCTCTCTCTGAATAACCACCTTAGAAGAGCCTATTGATAACCCCTCGAAGTCAAGTTTTAGATACAGCAATTGCGCCACAATACGTGCAATGCGGAGCGAGGCCTGAGTTACCAGTTATGCTATCACGCCCCGTGCACGTTCGACCGCGACAGCCCATAGCGCAACTCGAGGAGATGGAGCTGAGAGAGGGTCGATCGTCGATAGAACCTTGGAAGGAATGTCATGTTGGCTACACCGGACACCTACCTAGAGGCTGATTAGGGGGTAGAGGCAGGTTGGATGCTCCAACGCCTTGGGCACCTCCGTGCCCTTATGAGCTCGCCAGATACACGAGAACCTGGGGGTTCTCTAAATTGAGGTTACCTGTGCGAGCGTTTGAGAGAGCTTGTTTCTTGTCTCGACAATGCGTGGCGAACGGGTCAGTCTGTCACCAAGCGGCGCCATGTTGAGGCCTATCGGGCCAGCCGGGAACGCGGCTGATACTGTGATGTGTCATTTGGTCGAATCCTAGAGATCTCGAGAAGTGAGTGGCTATTTTCAATTATTCGCCCTATATATACCCGCTTCAGAAGGTCCAACCCCCTGACCAGCCCTGCTGGGGAGGCATGGTCCGAGTATTCATAAAGTCGACCAAGTCGAAGAAGCTCTTCTTGTAGCGCCTTTCCTGCGTGGTCCTGTTGACGGTCTGCAGGCCAAAGTGGGCGGTATAGTCGCCGAATTCCCAGTTGTCGGCAAAGCTCCACGCGAACGCGCCCGCGACGTGCACGCCGTCCTCCCAGATGGCCTTGAGCACCTCGGACATGTAGGACAGGTAATAAACGGAGCGGGGCATGTCGGAGAGCTGGTCGCTCAAGGTGGTCTGCTCGGCCTCGCCGAAGACGGGGAACCCGAACTCGGTGATGACGATGGGCGTGTGGAACGTGTTGTACAGGTACGACAGGTACAGGCGGAGGTAGCGCGGCGTGATGTAGACGTAGGACTGCGAGCGGTAGCCGACGTCCCAGCCTGTGGTGGTCAATGTGCTTTGGTTCACACAGTATGGAAAGTAAGTGCTGGACGTGTTGGTGCAGCACTCGTGAATCGAGTCGGTCGAGTTCGCGACTGGTGGGGAGACAACGGTTGCCTTTTTATCGCGGCGTATGGTCAGCTTGCGACGTTCGATACTGACAGACTTTGACAAGCAAGACACTGACAAGAATTGCGGTGCTCAATAAGAAGGAAACTCACCGTGTACGGATCAATACCAAGAAAGTCGGCTGTCCCGTTGATGTAGGCCAGATCCTCTGGAGCGAGAGGCACGTAATCTGGAACCGTCTCTTTGTAGCTGTCCGGATAGTCCTCGCCCAGAAATATCGGGTTGCAGAACAGCCCCAGTTGGAACGAGTTGAAATGATCGGCTGCATAGACGTCGTTTGGATTGGCGGGATCGCGGGGCACGCCGAAGTTGTCGTTGAACTTGAGCGAGATTTTGCCCGTTCCGTTGATTGACTCTCTGTAGAAATGATAAACCTGGGCATGGGCTTTGAGCACATGGTCCACCGACAAGCCATTGAAGGAATAGATGAACGGCTCATTGAATGTAAACCAAATCGGGACGCGGTCTGCGTAGTGCGTCATGACAATCTTTGCATAATTGACGTAGGCGTCGACGAACGTCTCATTCTGATACCCGCCGTTTGAATAGCCTATCAAGGGTTTCGCCTGAGCCGCCGACAGGTTGGCAGCAAAGAACTGCGCGGGAGTGTCGAAGTGTAGGACGGTCAACACTGGGATCATGCCTTTCTCAAGCACAAAATCGATCAAGTCAGAGTAGTGGTCAAGTCCCTGCCGATTGACAGGAGTGCCAGGCAGTGCAAAAGGCAGGATCCGACTCCATGCAAGGCTGAAAGAGTAGTACTTGACCCCCATCGAGGCCAGTCTTTCTATTTCTTGCTTGTAGTAGTAATAGTTTTCGTTTGTGACATAGTCCTTGGGGCGATCATCCTGGATCAAAATGTCCATGAGCGAAGGGGATTTGCCTTCGTCGGCGGTGGCTCCTTCGATTTGAGCAGCGGAACCGGCAACGCCAAACTGAAAATCAGCCGGGAAGTAATAGCAATCCGTCGGTCCGAAGTAATCTGGAGGAGGCAGTACGAGCTCGGTTGTTGGGATAGGAGTCGGCGAGACGGTGGTGCTGAAGACTGATGTCTCGTGAAATTGGGAGGATTGGCCAACTTCCATAATGCGGTCCACGCAGCATCTCCGTAGGGGTTGTCCGTGTCCGTGGCGGAGGCTGTGGCATTAGGATCCCACTTGCCCCATGTTGTGAACGAAAGCGACGAGAGGAGGCTCGTCAGTGAAGCAGCGGGCGGCGCATAAGTGATGGTAGGGCCAGGCTGAACTGATGTGGCAGTGCGTACTGTCTCGGTCATGGAATAGGCAAACGCAGAGTATGGCGAGTATGTGGGCTGTGAGTAGGATGGTGTGGCCTGGCATTGAGGTCTTGCCGATGTGCCTGTCACGGGGATATAGTATTGTTGCGCTGTGGCTGAACCCAGCCCAAATAACAAGAGAGCTATCCAGGATGCCATATTGGACGTGTAGGAGGCTGGAGTTTTGCTTCGCACATTCTCGGATTCATTGTAGATGTCAACACCATTTGTACCTGCCCCACGGACATGTTGCTGGTCTGGAGATGGTGGTTGCTGGCAAACAGATTGCCACACAAGTGTAACCTTCTCCGCATAAAGCATAAAGCATAAAGCGTCGGCCTCTGATCCGAATTTCTGTCGACTAAAAGGCTGCTACATCGTCATGTTCTTCGCCCGAATAAGGACAAAACTCGAGGTAGCCTCTACCCCGCGTCCGACGCTGTCGCTTCAAAAAGCCCCATGCAGCGAAGATTGTTGTGGATAGCCAAGAGATCAACACAGCTTCTGAGCCCAACAAACATCACGTCAGTCTCTATGAAGATCAAAGATCAACTCCAGTTGGCCGAGAATGAACCCCAAGCTTGGACGTTGAGGTGCCCCGGCAAGCTAGGCACGTAGAATAGTGCCACCTCTGCCGACCTGCTTCTTCTATCCTGTTTTGACGTGCTTGGCCATCGGCTTGTGCTCAAAGTAAATGGATCTTGAAGGTGGCATTAGCAAACCAGCACCTTGATGTCATGATTAGGAGGGAATGTAATTCGTATGCTAGCCTAAGCTGTGAGAATCGTACTGTGTACAAGTAAGTATGCATGCTGTGCTTTGATGACATCCTGAATGCTCCTTTTTCTGCCCTTTTCTCCCCTCTTGTCTGCGTCTCTGGACCGCGCCATGTCTTGCTTGCCGCGCCGGCCGATCCAAAAAAAGACTCGTCGTTGGTCACAGACCATCAAAGCTCCTCCATCCATGCGACTCAGTCTGAGATATTTGTTTTTGGCCTTGAGTTGCAGCTCTCGGGTGATCAGGCGGTTGCAGAGAACCGACTGCTCGGATCGGATCAGATCAGATGAGATCAGAAGACAGCTCGGACCGTAGCCTTTGCCCAGTCCATGACTCCCTTCTTCTTCTGCTCCTCCTGCAACTCAGCGATGCTTTCCCTGCGCTGTTGCTCCGAGACCTGCGGCCCGCTAATGAGTTCGGCCTGTCCCTCGCGCATGCCCGTGTAGATGTCGATGTCCTTGATTTTAACGTACAACGGGCGATGCTCCTTGACATAGAACCAAGAGTACACCTTCCAGCCAATGTACAGGGCAACGATGAAGGGGCCCGCAAGATAATCCTGGAAGAAGATGTTGGCGTTGAGATTGGGACCGCCAATGGGGTAAAGGGCGACGTAGAACTGGGCCATCAAGCACACTAAATTCATGACGGCGCACACGTAAGAGCCGTAGACACCGAACGCGGCTTTAAAGGGGAGTTCGGAGACGCTGTGGCCTTGGAGTTTCCTGTACAATATCAATTTAGCGGGCGGAACAAAATACTGCAGAGAATCTAGGTAGCACGACTTACCATGCCATTCGGAAGCGGATATGGGCTATCGCAATGCTCCCGAAAATGAAGAACGAGGAGAGACCGGACAAGGCCAGGAGCCAGTTGAAGACATTACCACCCCCGGTCTTATCCAAGTTGAGGAACGCCAAACATCCGAAAAGAAGTTGAAGGATGGTGACGACGACAGGGCGGCCCTTCTTATCGACGTAGGCGAACAGCTTGGGTCCCATACCTGTTGCCAAGGGTTAGCAGTGAATGGATGAGCGTCAACATCAAATGCCTTACCATGTTGAGCCAATGCTTGGAAAGTTCGGGTCGAGGCAAATGTGCAGGAGTTGGCAACGCTCATGACCGAAATCAAGATCATGGCGTTGAATATCGAGGGGAGTGCTTTGATGCCTGCTAGTTCGATAGCAATCACAAAGGGCGAATGTCGACTTTCGGCTCCCGGGTCGTTGTAAAGCGGACTGTTTGCAGGTACGATAAGGCCGATCAGGAAGAGATTGACGAGGTAAAAGATACAAATACGCCACACGACTTGTCTCGTCGCCTTGGGGATTTCCTTCCTAGGGTCTCGAGCCTCGGCAGCGGCTAGTCCAGTAAGCTCGGTTCCACCAAAAGCGAACGAGGCTGTGACGAAGACGGTACAGAATCCGTGGAAGCCATTGAGGAAGGCACTGTATGGTGAATGCCTAAAACAAGGTAGCCCGGTCAGTAGGTGAGTGGGAAGCTCCTTAAACATGACCATACCAGTATCTGGCCCCAATGTAGCCTCGATGATCGGTTGGAACGCCGCCACAGTCGATGATGATGCCCAGGATTATAAATCCAATGCAGGCAGTGACTTTCATTGCGCTGAGGACAAACTCGACCTAATCAGGTGAGCAACGAGCACTGGTGGCCGATATCTGGTCACTTACTTCTCCATAGCCCCTGACTCCGAAGTACTGGATGACGGTAAGGAGGAAAAGTAGCGGGATGATCCAAGCGCAATCGTTCACGTTCTCGACGCCCTGCCAATAGTGGATGATCTTGCAATATGTTAGCTGTGATCCAGGATGGCTGGAACCTTTCTTACATTACAAGCTGCTGAAATCTCGAAAGGAAGCACAGTGAGCCAGCCAATGCCGTATTGCCATCCACAAGCAAAACCCCACGAAGGATCAATGAATCTGCAGATGTACATGGTGAATGCTCCGTTGATAGGGTACATGACCGCCATTTCGGCGAGCGCTTGCATCACGAGGTAGCTGGACAAGTTCGTCAGAATGGCTTCCCAGTAGAGCAGGATTCAATGAGCCGTACACCATGCCACCTGTTGTGAAGGATTAGACGAGGTAAATTTTATTTGAATTGCTTGTAACTCACCAATGATCATGAAACCGAGAAGCACAGAGGCAGGGCCTCCAGTTTGGAAAGCACTACCGCTTGAGACAAAGAGACCAGCACCAATAGCGCCACCACTGAGATCAAGTCAGTACAAACATTGGCACTAAACTCGACACCAAGGCCAGATGAAAAGCACGATCCAGGAAAGAAGGCCAACCGTCAAACCACGATGAAGGGAGAATATGCGACGGGTGAGGCAGACTTACATGGCGATCATCTGCATATGTCTTCCTTGCAGATTCCGGTGCAGCTTGCCTTGGTCGGTCTCGACGATGGCGACATCGGTGGCATCGAGACTGAATTGGCGGCCACGTAGGTGGTCAGCCAAACTGGCTGGTTCGACCGTATCCGCCTTCGCCCGCTTCTCGGGGTCCTGCAGACTCAGACTTTCTCGTCGTTCACTCATCTTGGCGTGGGAAAGAGGTCGCGTTCCAAGATCAAAATCAAGGGAAGAGGATGGAAGGGGGAGAAGCTCAGTGAGGAGGGTTGGGCCACGCAAGATAAAGAACAACAAAGCATGGAAGCTTGTTAGCTGATAAGCACGTCAAGCCTCTACCTACTTTTGGCGATCTCGAGATAGGCGTTGGCGACGGGCGAATGGGCGAGGAGTTTAAGGTGCTGGATCTGGTCAAGGCAAGAAACTTAGTCTCCCTCCAGCATTCACCCCGATCTTTTTTTGGCGAGATTGCTGTCGAGGTGATTGGACACATGCGGCTTCCACAGAAATGGGCCTTCCAGAACGCATTGTCTGACTGGGGGCTATCTCGTGTGGCTGCGTGTGCGTGGTATCAGCGACCAGGGTGGTGGCGTGTAGTTGCGAGATATGGTTAATGCCTTCCAATCGGGCGCTAATGTTGATGCGGAAGGTACCGTCCACCCCAGTTCACCATGCAGCGGCCGCGTCGGAGCTCGCTCACAGATGCAACGTTGATGGGTTTCCTGCAGGTTGAGCGCGTCGACTTACTGTACGGAGTATCTAAAGAGCAGGACTGCCCATATTTGAAGTCGCGATAAGCCAATCAGGGTGAAGTTAGCCAGCCGGAGTGAGGCGGGTTAAATGTGTAAGGCTGAGCTAACATTGAGCCTGATCACCTGATGTTCGAATCAAGAGCCATGGCCATGGCGCCATATGGTGGCGGATAAGGCAAATAGCATACTGGGCAGAGTGATTGGTGTTGTACATTCGAGGTGTCTGAAGAGGTCGCAATCAATCTACAGAGCTTGACGAATAAAGTCCAACCGTAAAGCTGGTAATTTTGAAGCAAGAAACGCACTAGAGGATGATCGGGATTGGCACTCAAGATAATATGGAAGACATGACACTCCTTCATATCGTCGTGATGAGCGCCTAGAGCTGTCCTTGTGTACCAGATAACATGGTCACCGTCAAGCACTACTAAGTAATGAGGGGGAGTAGTGTTAAGAAATAACAAGATTAATTATAATTAAGCTTAACCGTAACCCTCTGTGAGGTTGAGTTCTGAGGATTGCCAATCTGGGGACTAGCTGACTACCTAGTAATAGGTGCTTGAAAGCAGCGGGAGGAGCAGCTCTCGGCGCCAATTTTCCCTGCTCGCCTCGTCGCCGGCGCCTCAGATTTCAGGCCCGCAGCCACGTCTACCTACCTACCTAGGTACCTAGGTGCGAGTTGCCTGCCGTTTACCAACCACATCGTATTGAATCGAACAGTAACCTGCACTACGCCCATCTCATCAACCGGGGGAGCTTTAAGCAGGTTTCTGTTTACAGTGACGGGCTCTGTATCACTCTCCTTCTGCCCACTTTCTTCTCCCCCCTTCTTCTGGCCAAACCACCGCGATGGACCCAAGAGGTCTCACGTTGCGGAAGAAGCGCAAGGACCGCCCGACTATCAGTGCACCTCAGAATGCCTCTGGCCCTGGCATAGGCAGGCCAGGTCTCCCCTCGCAGAACAAGGCCGGCAATACCCTGACTGTACCAAAAGACCGCAATGCCCCAACCGAGACATCGGACCTCGTCAAACGACGATATTCAACAAGATACAATCAACTTCCTGACTTCAGCAACCTCGGAGCTCCCGCTGTTCCTGCCCTACCAGGTGCTGGCACCCTTAAGCGTCGCTCTGGGGGTGGTTCTCCGCGTCGGCCAGGAGCTGGACCGACCTCACGTCCACTTGTCGTCGACAACGATGTCCTCCGAGACCCGAACCTTCAACACGAACGCTATGTCACCGACCTCCTCGCCAATGCCTCCGAACAAGATATTCAAGAATACCAGAACAATCTGCAGCGGCTCAAGGATCGCAACTCTCATGAGCTGCAGCAGAGCGTCTATCAGAACAGAACACAGTTTATCAAGATCAGCAAAGAGGCGGAGAAGTTAAAGGCCGAGATGGCCATTCTACAAGGCCTCATGTCCGAGCTGACTGGAACCCTGGGACCGGGAAATGCAGCATCCGCAAGCACTCCCCTGTCACCCGAGCTCAATGGCAACACTCTGTCCCGAAGAAATACAAACAGGACGTCGGTCGCGAATTTGGAGCACATGTGGAACATCCAGCTACAAACGCTGTGGAAGAATATCGAGAAATCTCAAAAGTTCTTGCCCGCTGTACCTGGCCGCCATATCGTCGCAGAGACGAGCACATGGATTGAGCTAGACTCGGCCACCTGGAAACCAAAACGGCCGGTTCATATTGTGCTTTTGAACGACCATGTTCTCGTGGCCTCGAAGAAGCGCAAGCGGGTCGACCCTAACGCACCTCAACAGGGTCCCGCCCCGACCAAATTGGTTGCCGAGGAATGCTGGCCGCTCCAAGACATTGAAATCATCGACATGGCGGCCAGTGTGGCGAATGGCGGGACCACAACACCAGCTGAGGAAAAGGCCATTGCCTCTGCACTGACAATCAGATCAGGTGGACGGTCGCTCACATACCGACACGAGAAACGGGATGAAAAGGCCAAAAATGGTCTTTTGATGGCACTCAGAAAGGCAACCGAGGACGTTCGAAAAGCTGCCAAAACGCAGGAAGAGCAAAGCAATCCACTTCAAACCGAAAGCCTCAACTACTTTGCCGCCCGCGATCCAGCGTCGGCCAAAAACACCGAAATCATTGAAAGCCTCAACTCCTCCAAGGAGAAGCCCGACATCCTCATCGAAGTTGATGGGCGGCAACAGAATTTCCGCTGGGTTGAGGGACAAATAGACGACTTGGACATTGAAATATCACTGCAGCGTTTCGACGAAGCCGTCGCAAAGGTGGAAAAACTCCGCAAGATCGCCAAGAGCTTGAAGGGCAATTCGATTGCCCAAGAGCTCATCAGCGTCAAGGTTGATGAGCGCGCCGGCAAGCTCGCGACGGTGCTCGGTCGAGAACTCGTCGAGACCCCATCTTTCATGGAGGCCACGAAACGTAAAGCCAGCTATCTCATCCGACTCGGGTTTGAGGATCGCGCAAGAGAAGCCTACCTCAACGCCCGGAGCGAAACACTCATCAAACGAGCCCGGCAATGCGTCTTCGAAGGTGATCTGCATCGCTATGTTTTCTCCATCTCTTACGTTTACTTCACCATTGTCAAGAACACCGTGCTTATATACCAAGCTGCCTTCTCACCATTGACCATCAGCGCTTGTGTCAAATGGGCCGACATGCATTTGGAGACGTTCAACACGCTGCTAGTGAGGCAGCTGAGTGCAATCGAGAAGCAAGGCAAGTTGTGGAGGGAATGTATGGATGTGGTGTGGCAGCATGAGAGGGAGATGTTAGGGGACTCGGGTCTAGATTTCAGGGAGGTTATCGGCCGAGACCTCGAGGTCAGGGATCTTCCGAGTACTGTAAAATCGGGGACAAATCCTGGAGCTTCGGCGGCGAGTAGGGACGAGGGCCGATCAAAGTCACGAACAAGGGGTGGTGCGTGAGGAAAATGCATATTGAGCGGAGAAGGCAAATATATTGGTACTCCCAAATCTACACAAGGTATATGCAAGAATACACAACAGACTCCCGGCGCTTTTCGCTCATGCTGGAATTGAAAATTTCCTTCCGCATTGGCCCAGGTCGCACGGTCGCAAGCTTGGTGTTGACACGCAGGAGGACTGCGATGATGATACATGGTGTACAGATGATGAGTCCGTGCTTCCGATGCTCGTAGAACAACGATTTGGGCTTGTCTAAGGAGCCGAACTCGGAAACTGGGAGATATCGGGGAGGCGTTTATTCGTTGATCTTTGCGAGAAGCCTTCTCTGCGTTAGCATATGACTGCTTCCTGGCCAAACCGGTGGTTTGGACATACTCATGATCCCGGAACAGGTGGTATTCCTCCTCTCCCACTTTCACCGGGCTTCCGCCATACTGAGGGATCAAAACTTTGTCACCTTCCTTGACGCTCATTGCCATCCTCTTTCCATCCTTGTCGAATCCACCGGGTCCCACAGCCAGAACCTTGGCTTCGTTCAGCTCCTTGACGCTGCTTTCCGGGAGGTAGATTCCAGCAGCTGTTCTCGACTCGGCCTTGATTCGCTGGACGAGAACGCGGTCGAGAAGAGGGACGAGGGATCGGATGCTCTTGAGTGCGGTAGTCTGTGCGAGGTGTTTGTCAATCAAGTGAACTACGAGCGATTGCGGCACGACAGAGGTCCCCGAAGCTTCTCCTGAGGGGGGGATGGCTTACCATCTTGACTTGGTTGGAGGGATTCAGCGGGTGACGGGATGGACTATGGTGTAGGGAGGAATAGATTCGCGCAAAGGTCTGTAAACAGATGATCACTTTTCAGAGGTCCGGGGCACTTTTTCTCGAACCATCCGCTCGTTAGACTTTCCTCGCTTGAGCTCCGATAATGATTGGACAGGAAACGCCGCAAACTTTCCAAGCTGCCGGGCAAATCATGCAAACATGACAAACATCCTGCGCCTGTTCACCTCGTCGCCAAATACCAGCCTCCAGCAACACCCCTTCCCCCACTTTCGGTTCGCATTATCCGGGTCGACAAGATGATGGACTCTGATGAAGACGATATCTATCCGGAGCACGATGGGTCGAATGGCCAGAACCACCAGGGTGAGGTGAGGATGGAGGATGCCGACGACGGCGAAGAGGAGGGCGAGGAAGTCGAGGAGGAAGACGACGATGTATGGAACACAGCTCCAAAAAAGGATCGCGAGGGACTGACTGTATTCAGGATGATGTCGACTTTATCATCGACGTCAAGGATGAACCTAAACCAGAGCCAGGCTCAGGACCCAGTTCTCAGACAAAGAGACTTCCTGGACTAGGACAAGCTGCCGCAGACATACGAAAATCATCATCAACACCAACTCCAGCAGTGAAAGCAGGCACGCCCACGGATGTAAGAGGCGGATCGCAGCCTCCCAATGATCGTCCCGGCACCGACTATCCCGCTCGACATACGTCCAAAATCGATCCGAACGGCAACCCTGTACATCCAGCTACAGGCAAGCCCATCATGTCCACAGACTTCGATGTGGACTTCCCTTCGGAATCATCCAAGCCCTGGCGCAAGCCCGGCGCAGATATAACAGACTATTTCAACTACGGATTTGACGAATTCACTTGGGCATCTTACTGCCTCAAACAGCAGCAGATGCCCAAGGAAGTGAAAGAGATTACACAACAAGCAGAACAGATGAAAGCGTTTGTAGAAGGGATCCCCGGAGGCGGCATGCCAGGAATGCCTGCCATGCCAGGTGCACCGGCCGCAGATATGTCGCAAATGGCGATGCCCAACGAAGCACAAATGCAGCAAATGTTCGCGGCAATGACGTCTCAGGGGCTGGATCCAACGACCATGGACCCTGCTCAGTTCATGCAGTTCATGGCAGGTGGCGGAGCGGGGATGATGGGAACACCACAGCCTCCCACGGGCCCTTCTGCGTCGTTTGCAGGTGGTGGGGGAGGTGGGGGATTTGATCAAGGCGGAGGCGGCGGCGGCGGTGGCTTTGGTGGCCGTGGAAGAGGAAAAGGTGGGAGGAGAAATTGGTAGAGACAGTTTCGTCATCCGGACTCGCCCGTCCATTACTGATCACAATTTGCTGTCTCGGCCTGCCATCCTTCGCTCTCCAGCTCTACCATGTGCAAAGATCGGTGAAGGGTTTCAGACTGTGGCGGCAACGTTTTTAAGTTTCGCTTCGCCTGTGCGCGCCAGCGATGTTCAGAGAGATATCTCAACGGCTTGAGAGCAACACTTAGAAGCCGTGACAGAGTCGAATGAGCAATGATATGGATGTCTAACAGCCTGCAGTGGACACCCTAAGCAAGTTAAATAAAATACACGACGACCGGCGGAGGACTCGGGCGGGAGCCAGCTCATTCTGAATGACCTTGATTGATTTCGATTCATCTCGCCATAAATACCCGAAGCGAGAAATTGATCAATCCAAAGTACGAAACAGTAAAATCAACCTCATGTCCCAAAATCCTTCGCATCGCTCATGTTTTGCTGTTTATGTTTTTTCTGGACGGTCAGAACTCCTGAACATTCTCAGCCTTGCGCACGTCCAAGGCTGAGGTCAAGCTAGTGCCCAACACTGCATCTCGCGAGATTCTGTTGAAACAATAATACTCTCTACCCTCTACCCTCCACCGTGCACGTATCGTGGATGCACAATGCATTTCTCCCCCCCTGCTCATTCAGTACGCACACAGCAGCTACCTAGGTACCTTACCCTATCCCCGCCGGCCGGCCGAGTATCGACAGTATAGTAAGCTGACCAAGCCCCGGAGTGTTACATATACGATCTGCAGCGTCAAAGCCAAGGGCAGCCCACCGGACCTACCTTGTCACGGAGTGAAATCACGCAATGGCAATGGCAATGGGACGCCTATTCCCACCAAATGGGGAAACATCTTGAAAAAAAAAAGCCGTAACAATACCGTTCCCACATCTCCCTCCAAGTCGCCCTTTTCTCGCTTTTGATGTTTTACAACCCCCCCGGTTTCCTCACACACAGAGACCCTTTCCTCGGGTTTGAAAAGATGAATCCCATCTGTGAATACCGCAGCGGCTTGGGCCTGGGACTGGGGCGTGGCCGTGGCCGTGGGTCAAAAGTTGATCGCTGCATTACTGGGGAAGATGTAAAATTCCTCTGTAATCCAGCAATCTCAAGGGGCTCAAATACCTAGGTAGGTATTACGTGCGTTTCGCGATTGTCAGCTCCCCTTTCAGGCGCCCTCCGTATTTTTTCCCTTCTCAAGAAACTCGGTTTCCCCATGGAGAGCAGAAAAGGTAGAGAGATAGGAGGGAGGAGGTGTTCAAAAGGAGAATCAAGCAATATATCAATCTCATTTCTTCGAAACCCCCGTGCTTCCCCGACTCAAGACCAAGGTCCATCGACACTTTTCTCATCTATCTAGGCCCCCCTCCCCACTCTCCTTGACCGTCCTAGGCCAGGCAGATTGTTTTGGCAACAACGACAATGACGACGGAATCCGTCCTCCGTTCGCAGCAGCTGGACCACCTCCGCTCACTACTTTCCCCGACCGAAATCATCTCGCCGTCGTCAGAGCTCTACGAATCGCACACATCGACATGGGCGGCGCAGAAGAATCGTCACCCGCGTCTCGTCGTGCGGCCGAGCTCGATACAGTCCCTCTCGACGATCCTCAAGTACCTATCGACTTCGGACCTGGACATGGCGGTCCGCAGCTCCGGGTACGGCTCGGCGTCGGCGAGCGATGTGGTGATCAGCATGGAGTGCTTTGACGAGTTCGAGTATGATGGCGAGAGCCGGATTGTGACGTTGGGCGCGGGATTGCTTTGGAGGGAGTACTACGAGAAGATGGAGAGGGTGGCGCCGGATTATCATGGTACGTATTTCATAATATCCACCCATCACTCAACCTGGCCAGAGGGAGTCTCTCTTCAAATGGTGCGTCACTCCACGCTTAACTGAGAGAAACAGTGATCGCAGCACGAACACCCGCTCTGGGCGTCGGAGGCAGCGTCCTCTCGGGTGGTTTCTCCTGGCTGGCCCGGCAGTACGGCAACACCTCGGACCCAGACAACATGGTCGACGCCGAGGTCGTCACTCTGGACGGCACGGTTCTCTGGGCGTCGCAGGAGCCCTCGCTACTGTGGGCACTGCGCGGCGCGGGCGCGAGTTTCTGCGCCGTGACAAAGTTCAAACTCCGTGCGTACCCCTGTCCCAGGGATATTTTCGCGGGCCCCATCGTCATTCCGCGTCGCCAGCTCGCTCTCGTCGCCAAGGGCATTGCGGACATGAATGCTCGAGCGGAGACGCTGGCACCCCAGGTGTCGATGGACCTGTACGTGGTGCGGAAGGAACAGGCGGCGCATATGGGCGCCACCGAAGATCTGCTGATCGTCCAGGCGTTCGATGCCCTAGGTGAAAAACACGGAAGGTCCGAGGGTGGGTTTAAATGGGCGCTGGAGATTCCTGGCGCGGTGGACATGACGCAGGTCACCAACCTGCGCGGCGTCTCAGAGATGCACGGTACGTTCTTCTCTCCCAAATCCCATCTCGGGAGGTGCTCGCAGCAAGGTCTCTAGCCTTCTGCAGTACCTACCGCAAAATACAGCTCCCAGATGAAAAAGAAAGAAAAACGACACATATATCAACGAAGCAAAACACTAACATATCCCTTCTACTTTGTTCCGCTGCGTGACCAACAGAACAAGTAACCTCCCTCAAGTCCCGGTTCAAAACCTGCTGGCAGCCCCTGATTGTGACGACACTCACCGAGGAAACCATCCTCAACGCCGTGCGCTGGTTCGACAGCGTCGGCGCCGCGGGTGGTTCCATTGCCAACAGCGTACAACTCGTCTTTGAGTGTCTCTGCACGCGGGACTCGACGAGCGAATACGGGGCCTCGGGGTCAGCATGGCCACGACCACGGGGGATGAAGAACACGATCATCTGCGCGGCGGGGTGCGAGGCCACTGCAGATGATAACGAACTCGCAACGGCGCGACAACTCTGCCTTGACGCCCCGGGCGTGATTCTCGGCTACTTGCGAAGTGGGCAGGAAGGCGTAACGGTACGGTACGCGCCAAATGCGCTGGAGGAGTACCATGATCTGAAAGACGTGAGTATATCACCGAATACTTGGTTCTTGAATATCTGGACGAACGATTGAGAGAAAGGACTAAACCTCTCATTGGTCATGTCTGCTAACATACGACCCGGCTTTCCCCTGGTCCTTTGGAGTAGGTCTTCGCCGAGCACCTTCCGAGACTCCTCGCGCTGAAGCAGCAGTATGATCCGCGGAACAAGTTGAAGGGGCCGATCAATCTCCCGGCGCCGTCCGTAGGTAGAGCTCGGGCTTGAAGTAGACCTCGACTTGGTCTTCGCGCACTGCATGACGAGGCATGCGCGACAGAGGGCAGCTATACCCTGCCCGGCCGATGGGATGGGAAAGGACAATATAAGAGATCGTATCTACGACAGGGTCGGGGAGTGAGCAAAGGGCCGATCTTTTGACGCAAATCTAGTACCAACGTCTGAAGCAGTCGAGCCAAAAGCCGGCCTTTCCTCTCACAGTTCATGAATTTTGTCGAGTTGCCCAGGAGCCCTGTCCTCGAAGCTCCCATGTGAAGTACAGCCTCGTCTCTTTGCGGTGAGGTAATATTGTGTAGGATCGCAACTTAGAGCAGCCGCCCGCAGCGGCGCATTTTCGTACAGAGGCATACTGATTCTCAGCCGGCCTCTTCATGCGAGAGCTCTAATCGTCCAAGGCAGATCATGCCAGCCTCAAACCATCTTCGATTGTGTCGATATCTCTCCTGCGGGATAGCTAGTTCTGATTTTTGGCTCAGCACTGTTTCGGAAAGCGATGTGTTGTTTTGCAGTAACTGTAATACAGCTCGTACCAAAATTCCTGTTGGCTTCTGCGATGCTTCACAGTCGAGATATGTGGTCGTGGCACCAGATGAGACTAACTGATCACTAGGTTTGCCACTCATATCGTCTGAACTTATCTTGACAGCCTTGCGAGTCGCCTTAGCGAGACGACGAGGAGCGATTGTAAACGTGATCTCATGGTCGAAGGAGAATGAAGATAGCCTCGAGTTGAGTATGAAACTCTGGACGATTACGTTCATTGCCTGGTCTGACTTTCTGGTCAATTGAGTCTTGTCTGTTGCCGAGAACGTTCGGCAGAGGCGCCCTTGACGAAGTGCAGCGAATGTATGCCATCGGGTAATCGTGAAACTGACGCATGGCACTTAAAAGACCGATCGAGGCTACAATGTGGTGGAGTGAAGGAGATGAAGATGAGATACACGAGCAAAACCACCCACAAATATTTCGAGGACAGGTTCGGTTGTGTGAGAATTTTGCATGACTTGCGCGTCTCGATCATAACACCTCAAGCTGTGTGTGGACTCAGGCATAACCAGCTGAATAAGGCGCAGCCGAACGTGCCTGATCTACACTCCGCCTCAACGGATGTATGATTTTGTCCACGTGATGTCAGTTCAGAGTGTGCAACAAGGGAAAGGAGACATACCAGCATATTGATTGAATCTTGGGCCCAAGTCTATTGACCCAGCTGTCCCTGTTCGGCCGACTTTCATGCCTGATTTAATTGCAGTGTAGTTATAAGTCGAGTTTGGGACTTTGCGTGGGTTGTTTCGCTGGCGATGAGACGATATTGGCAGATGACGATCTGGAAGCTGAGAACGTAGACTTGTTGCCGGTATAGGAGATTGGTTGACACCCAGACGAGGCTGAGCTGGCAAGCGTGTTCGTTGCAAGGGCGTTCTTGAAGTGGCCACCCGGTTCGCTATTATAACAGGTTAGCACGAACACATTGGTGATATTTGGCCACCTACGAGTCCTCGATACTCGCAGTCTCTCCGGCGGCAGCATGCCCCTCTGTTCGCTGCCGCTAACACTGCTCCCGGACCTCTGATGAGGATGAAGACGTTCCGGGCCGTCTTGAAGTTGGCCGTATCTGGAGATTGATCTGTCCGCCATCGGGAGAGGATCTGGTGCACGAAAAGTTTGTCTTGACTCTACTGCCGGCTGCGTCCTCTCGATTTGAGGTAAGATATTGATGGATTGTAACGTCTGAGTTACGTCGTTATCAGCCAGTGGTTCCATTTTCTCCATCATGACTCTCTGCTTAAGGATATCGTAAAGCTTCTGGGTCTGCGCTTGCTTTTTGCCCTTTTCCTGATACTGCTCCAGAAGCTGGGCATACTTTTGGTCCATTGACTGTCGATCAGCATTGAGTTCTTTGCAGAGGTTAGCTGGCTCTTCTCGGTAAATGTCGTCTACACTCTGTACCCTGAATCTGCGACTCCAGAGCTTGAATCCGAGTATTGGCATCATTAGCCTCCCTTTCAGCTTCTGCGTTGAGTTGGTGGTACCTCTGCGTCAGGTTTCTGGAAATGTATTGCTGATATGCACTTTCAGCCTCATTAGATTGATCACACGACAGTCAGCGTTCAAGCTCACTGTTCCTGAGCATTTTGGTATGTCCAGAAAGAAAGGGCTCTCTGAGCACACTCGACAATACTTGCGGGGTCGAGGCCACAGAGGACGCTGGTCTTGAAGTCCTCGGGGGGATTCACCAAGTTCGAGACTGCGTCGTGGGGATTTGGTAGGTCGGTTTTGCAGACGGGACAGCGGCGCTGATTACGAGGTGCCGTAGATAGGCCAGTCTTTTCGGCGCAGGGTATGCAGAAGATGTGTCTGAAACATGTTAGATCAAGAGCGCGGAATGAAATGCCTAGGGATGACATGCGCGCAAGTTGTGACAATTGCCTGCGTCTTGAGAGGAGCTCGACAACTGCCCCCATGTTGGTTGTTGCACCGCAGTGGCTGGTCCATTGCTCTGGCTTCAGGAGACAGGAGACGAGGTAAGACCGGTCGGCTGAACTGTGGATTGGAGGGGTAGGTGGTGGAGAGAAGGCATTGTCCATGTGTAAAGACTTCAGCAGGTCGAAGGTCAGTCACTCCATGTCTGATGTACATAAAATAGACTCGGAGACGATGATGAGGCGGAGCCTCGTCCGCACTTGCCAGAATGTCCTCGCAAAGCACCATCACCCGGGATTTCTTGATAAATATGAACTTGGTTCCATTCTTCATCAATCATCTGGGAGTTCATATCAGCCAAAGAAAAAAGCGTTGCCTTGGGCGTCCCTTCTGCCTCCCTTGGCCATGTCCTCAAATTCCTTCCCAGCCTTGAATTCCTTCCATACACTTGCTGGGTAGATGTGCTTGTTCCTCTCATACCACCTCCGATCCACCACTTTCGTCAGCGTCGGATCGTCATTATGCCCTTCCAACGCGTCTTGCTTCTTCCCTGGCACCCGTAACAGAGCGCTGGTATCAACATCTTGTCCTCCTGGGCTGGTCTTCCTGATATCCGCTGTTCCCGAGTACTCGAATAGCAACTTCCCTTCCCTGCTTGGATTTGGAATCTTGTTCGCAATGAAATAGTAGAATTCGTAGTGATGTGGGACAATGACTTCGCCTCTTACAAGCATCAAGTCATCCACGCCCACACGTGCCCACTGTTTCCTCGAATCTTCCCTGCTCTTCTTCTGCGCGGCACCACTTGGGCCACCACCGGATCTTGAGCCAGAACCGGAGACGCCGAGTTCAGCACCCACCTTTCTGCACCTCTCCAAGAACAACCACACATGATCGCCCTTTTTCACTTTCACGCTCCCGCCCGGGACATTCGCCCCAGCCTCGTAGAACACAAAGGGGATCTCAATCTCCGTCTCCTTCACGCGTTCTTGGATCTCGAGGAATTCCTTCCGGAGCCTTTCTCGCTCCAGCGCGTCAGCGGCCAGCGCAGCTTTTGTGATTGTTCGGGGCGGAGGGAGGGTCGAGTTGGGGTTTGGCGTCAATTTGCGAGTGGTCACGGATGGTTCAGGCGACGGTTCGGCCGATGTCCTCGAGCTTCGCGCTGCAGGCGTTGACACCGCGCTTCCACCGTTTGCATCCTCGTCCTCGTCGCCACCAAACGATAATAGACCTTTTGCCGCAGCCTTTTTCTTCTTCAACTTCTTACTCGGAGGTCCGTCTTGGTCGGTCTTTCGTGTCCCCACCGCACTGTAATTTGTAAATTAGCCCCGCCCTCGTAGCCCTTGAAGAAAGCAGATCCGTAATCCAGACACAAAGGGGAGGATAATCAACTCACCCGTCACTCTCAGGCGTCCTCGTCCTCGAGCCTGCCCCTTCTCTTGCCTCTTTCTCTTTCAATTCCAACACATCGGCCCTCCTCTTGCGGAAGTCCGCCAAATTCACCAAGCCGACGGTTTGCGATTTCAGCAGGTCTTCTGCGGTGGCGGACTGCGCAGTGAAGGCGCGCGGCGTGGACGTCCCGGAGGGAGGATTGGACATGTTCGCGACCTGGAGGGTAGGATGACGGACGTGGCAATACGTTTAGGCAGAGAACGAGTAAATAGAGGGAGGAAGATGTGCATGCGGCTCAGCTTGTTAGAGACTTTCAAGTCGTTGTGGTGTCGGCCAATTAGGAACTAGAACTCTCAGCCTTGCATGTTCCGAGCATTCGATGCACGAATGCACCTGAGGCCCAAAGGCCATAGATTCACGACATCTACTCAGTGTCATTGGTGGGAAAGAATGCATTTCATCTTCACATTGTCCACAATTGGTACCAGTGATGGGTTTACAACCATCACGTAAGGCTCGAAAACTTTTCCTACTATACAGTAGCCATTATCCATCATGCCTTCGTCAAGATCATCCGGAACCATCTCCCGTATGTATACCTAGGTATCGCAACCATTCGCATCTGACTCTGCGGGCGTCTGCAACTCTTCAACAACCTACACGCACCGGTCAGACGACAATATACTCGCCCTCGTTGCTCTCCATTTTCATAATAGTCGTGAACCTGAAGCCAGTTTCGTTATCCGCATGTCCATCGGACTCCGCGTGCTCACTCTGTTTCTTCTTGTCGTCATAGGCGCGCCACACCTTTTCCAAAAGCTCCAAGCAGCTCTTGTTGTTGAGGAAGCCACTGTCTTTCTGGATATCCAGGCATCGTTGACGAATCACCTCACGATCAAGGTCATCCACGCACTCGCTGCCTGTGATGAACAAAGGCCAAAGGAGGTAGACGTCCGACTTGACAGCTTTGATGTACTTCAGGCACTCCCGCACCCAACCGCGAATAGCCGGCTCCGTACTGGGAGCCCGTGGATGGGCTAAGCGCTCCGTATACAACAGTGCAGAATATCTGAAGGACTCAGATATATTGCCGAGGTCAATGCGCTGCTCATCGGTCAAATAGGGTGCTCCCGGGGTCGGGCGATCGAGAACGGTGGTATCCAGCTGCCAGGACAATAATGCCTGCCGAATTTCCCTCCATTCTCGCCAGAACTGCGTCTTCACATCGGGCTCCGTGACTTTGCTGGAGAACAGTTCCTCATCCTCAGCGATCCGCATCCATCCATTGCCATCGAATTTGCTATAGTCAAAATTGAGTACCGATGGCATCGTGGGCAGAGGCCGAGATACAATAGCGGGACTTTCTTCAACAGATCTGCCTTGACTCAACACATTCAGCCTGCCCAATTTAGCAATGACCTTGAACAGATTCCCATCACAACCAGCAAGGTTCTCCAATGCCCATTCCTCGTCCGAGAGGGCGGACACATCCAGGTGGTAGCCCTGAAGCTGTCCCTCACGATCATTGACCGTAGCAGTCATGGCATCAAACCATGTAAACATCCGTGTAAACCATTTCGCCTCCCTCGTGTTCAGCCCTGGGTCATTCTTGCGCAAGGCAAGGAGTTTCTTGACGCCAGCGAACTGTGTACGGAACTTTGCAACCCCCGAATCGCAAATATGAAATAGACACAGAATAAGTAGTGTTGCCAAAATCGAATCGTCCATTCGTTGTAGAGGATTAGCAAGCTGCATGTTGAGGGATTGGATGGCAATCCCTTTATGCAGTGATTCCTCACGTGCTTGCTCTTGCGGAGTCAACAAGCCTGTCTCATGCCACTCCTCTTGCGTGAGAGTGAGATGAGCCATGGATGACCGCCTCGCGGGATCCGTCTTGCCCGTAGATAATCCTGTTTCCCGCCGTTGTCTCAGGTTACTCGCCGCCAATGCAGCTATGGCGTGCTGGAGGGTTTCGCTCCTTCCCGCTAGCCGCAAAATCTGTGTCCGATACGGATTGGAAGGGCCGTCAAAGGCTACAATCACAGGCGATATGACCTCAGTGTAATACTGTATAAGGTACTGTATTCGTGGAGTTGCTCCAATAGCTGTAAAGCCTGCAAAAGGCGAGAGTGAAAGGCTGTCGTTGTGGAGCGACCATTGTGGAAAGCCTATTGCAGAATCATCTTCCACAATGGCACATTCATTTTCAAACTTGAGTCGAGGGACTTCCTCGACTTCTTCATCAACAGCTTCGTCGATGTTCTGGACGTGGGATGCTTCCACCTTTTGGGGCAGAAGTGACTGGGCAGGTGATTCGTTGTGAAAAATATCGTCGTCCTGTCTCTGGTAAATGTGAAACTGCCTGTGGTCGGGAAAGGAGCCACCGAATGGGGAGGCGAGTTGAGGTGAGTCGGGATATGGGGGCAGTGTGGCCGGCATACCTGTCGTCGTGTGGTTCAAGACTCGTGTGAAGTATGCTGATTCGGGCGATGGCGCAGAGTAAGACATAGGGGACACTCGGTCGCTTCCGCTGTACGCAGCGCTGGGCCGTCTAAGACTAGCGCCAGTAGAGGCACCGTGGACAACGGATGGTGCCCAAGATGAAGCTGGATATGAAGAGACGCTCGGCTCTATCTTGACGCTGGGAAGTTCTGGTTGTGGGCTCCATGAACCAGTAGTCGTAGGATAAGAGGGTGGAACTGGGGGAGGATGCGACAGACCAAAGCGGAAGGGTGCATTGCCGTTGGTAGTAGAATCCGGGTCTCGCACAGCCGGAGAGGGAACAGGGTGAATTTCTGGGGCAGCATTGAGAATGTGTTGTAGCTGAGGTGGACGGGGCGAAGATGGTGGCAGCAAAGGTCTCTTCTTCGGTCTGGGTGGTGAACCGGACTGCGGAAGCTTCTGAGTGCCTGCGATGGGCAGTGAAAGGCCACGCAGCTTGCCTCGACTTGCCACTCCATTCCCCCAGGTCAATTGAGTTTTGTAGCCAGCACAGTCTTTCCCGTCATCCAAGCACCGGGAACAGTACGGTCTCCGCCGGTCGCAATTGACACTGCGACTTGTACAGGTGAAGCAGTCCACAGCTGCGCCAGCAGCAGGTGCGCGTTTCCTCCTCTTTCGTGGGGGGTTTGCTGCATTATTGTCTGGTGGCGCGGGCGCGGCATCTTGATGCGTGGCGAACTGAGAGCTCGACATGACTATAACAGCGATCGGAGGCTCAATGGATAAGCTGACGACTGGGAACCAAGTAGTGAGACGGAGGATGCGAAGGCGTCATGCACGGGCTCGAGGACTTCAATACAACCTCGTTCGTACAGCGGGCGAAACCCCTAAGATCCGCATTCCGGGAATTATATCGCCCAGATCATTGAGATGCAGGAGATAAGGTGAGAGGAAAGGACTAAGGAATCAAGAACAAACAGGAGGGATCAGGAATCCACGGGCAGTCCACTCCCCATAAGGAATAGCTGTGTGCACCAAGAAAAGATCTACAATGCAGAGAAGGATAACGCCCGCATGGAAATCGAAGGTGTCGAAGGCGTCGGTGAAATGTGATGGTGGAAAGGCACAAAATGAAAACTGGAGAGGGGATGCACAGGTGCGGGAGCGGGTGATGGGAGGGACCCGGAAGCCAATCAAGGTGCCTCTGGGCCCTCCAACGACAGGTGTTATACTCCTCTTAGGTGCCTCCCCGCAGGCCTCTATCGCTATTGCTGCCGCCCTGGAAAAGTCATCGATAGGCAGTCCAAGCCCTCCAGCAGTCACCCGCGCGTCGGCAGTTAATTTTGCATGTGACCGAAAGGGAACGACTGCCGACGGGGAGATAAAGTAGTGCCACCAGTGTTTCGAGCGCAAATGCAGACAAGACAAGTCATGATGCCATAATTACCTACCTGCCAAGGTACCCATCAAGCTATCTACTATCCCCGTCTCTTCGTGAGGATTAGTACCGAGTACGTGTTCCTTGATGTTCACAATCGCCTAGGCACGGGCATATCGGCTAAGCACAGACAACAGAACAAACCCTCACTGGGTGTGACGCTGTTATCTCGCAGAAAGCACGTCGATAGGGCTGGCCAAACTCCTCCAACCACTAATATTAGAGCCTTGAGAGCTCACACCACGAGGCAAGTATTGGTGGAATCTGCCCTAGGTTTGCCAAATGCCTTCTCGCACAAGGCTATATTCCGTGGTTTGGAAGAGTTTTTCCTTCCTCAACCCAATCAACCCATATCCGAGTGTCCTCAGAGAAGGGGAAAAGGAAGAAGTCCGCCATCGTCGAGGACAAATCCAGAGCGGAATTCCTTCGACTACCCCTGTCATCTGAGGTCCATTGTGCGTTTTTGGAAAGGGCCGAGCTCCCAGGACGACTTACCGGGGGTTCTTTCGCGATCTTGTTCCTCCTCTAGTCCGCCCCGCCGGCTCAGAGGGCCGTCAAGCCCGTGCGCGGCGTTGATCCACTACTACTGGAAGGACGGAAGCTCTCAGACATAGTCCACATCGTTGTGCGCTATCCGGAGCCAGGATTTCGGCTAATGTCTTGTACTTGTCGGGACTCGAGAGATGGGACGGAAATCAATTGCGCCGCGTTCCACTTGGTCAGCCTGCCAGAGACATTCATCTTTTTCGAGGATACCGTTACAAAAAGCAATCGTTGTAAATCATCCAGGAAGTCCATAAGTTGACAATGACGGGAACCGATATCTGGGTGCCACTATTTTTCGGTTGATTCGTCCTTGGTCGTGCTTGTTCATGATCTCCCATGGCACTGTAGCCACAAATGTCTTCGTCTCATCTTCGGAAACATCTGGCGTCTGGCTTGTAGACGCCCATCGCCAGCCTCAACAGGGCCCCGTTACAGCCTCGAGGCCTCATCAATCTCATGGTCCATGCCCCGTTGGAGGCATCAGGCTGTCAGCGCCGGTGCCAAACGTGGATCGGCCGGGGCACGAAATTGCCGTCCGGGGTTTGAGTTGGGCCATGCCCATGTGCAATTCTATTCTTGCAGGGGTGTGCCCGCCATCCAAAGCCTCGTGGACCTCGATTTCGCGCTCCGTTGTGCGCATTTACGAGGTACTCGTATTGCGTTACTGTTACACCTGTCGGCGTACCGTGTTGAAACTGCGATGTCTCATACAATGCGAATGCTGTGAGTAAACTTGCTCGCCCTTGAACATAACCCGCCAGACGCTACTTACCCTACCTAGGTACTAGGTATAGAGATAGCAACCTGCTTGTTAAAGCGGCCCTTCAAAACGATTGATTTGGCTAGTCGAATCCCAGTATGTACCGAGTACTCATACACTTTCCGACACTCGTGTGCACTCCTTCACACTCCGAAGTACTGCTCCAAGTTCTCCTTGCAAAGTGTCGGTGTCTACACTGAATCGTATCGCCTATGGACAGAACATGGCGTCAGCGGCCTTCATTCAATGTCAAGGCCTCGAATTGATTGGCAAACCCTCCCGTGTATTCGCTCCTCTCCTCGGCCATCGCATTCCTCTCACGGTCAAGTGGTTGAGTGCCATCCATCCCGGTGAACACCCAGCCTTCTTCGTTAGGTAACGGCGTCTGCTCTCTACCGAGCAAGTCCTCGATTTTCCAAGCAATTCTTTCAGCTCCTTGTCGTGCCCCAGCCAGGTTGGCGGCGCCAGGACCAAGCCTAAGCCCGGCGAGGCCGCCAGTCAAGAATAACGGGATGTCGTCGCGCCACATCAAATCGTCACTGAGTCTAGGTAAGCCGTTGATAGACCGAATGGGGTATTTCTCCAGCATTTGCTGCAGACACGGCACTTTCTCGATGCTCGAAGCTGCTCCGGTAGCATAAATGATGTGATCAATACACAGCGGGCCATTCTTTGAGTCTCGTGACAATGTGATGGACCACGTCTGGCTTCCGGCGCACCACCTACCGTCTTCAATACGAGTATGTGTCAAGATAGCCAGGCGATCTTTCAAGACGTGCCTTTTGAGTATCCGATCGAACTTGGGTGTTATGCTGCCTCCGTTTCGGGCTTCTTTCAGCAGCTGGAAGCGCTCTTGTCGAAAAATCAGTTACGAATACTCTCATTTCGATGTCAACCCACCCTGATCACTATCTGCCGACCAAAAAACCGACATTTGCTGGTTGCGCACCTTCGACACCCATTCAAGGTCGACGTCGAAATGCTTCAGCTTGTAGTCTCCCCTGACCAACAACCACACCTTGGTAACGCCGCGACGAATGATCAGGTCGGCAATTTGAGCGCTCGTAAGTCCACCCCCAACCACCACGACCGAGGTTGGTAGTCCTTGATCGATCTTCCGCAGGACATGCTCCGGAAGGCAGTGCCCGCCTGCAGAGTCGAAGCAGTGGCACACACTCCCAGGCTCCGCGTTCAGGTGGAGGTTGCTGTCGAGGGGAATGCAAGGCTTGCTGCCAGGACCGACTGCGAGAACCACGATTCGGGAGAATATCGCCCCTTGGTTGGTGGTCAAGGTAAAACCTTCCGTGCTGGTCAACCCGCCCAAGTCTCCGTACTCGATATTCTCGACTTTAGCGCGTACGACCAAGTCCTGAAGGCAATACCTGTCGACAATGTCGCCGCAGAAGTCACGAAAGAGCGCAGCCGAAGGCGTGAAGTAATCTATACGGTCTCGGTCGTCAATCCGAAGATGCTGTGCGATCCTCCTTGAGACATCGTCAGCTACTAAACAAACCCCTTGTCACTTTACTACCTGAATCCTCTCCTCGAATACCTAACTTACTTCTGACGCTTCTTCTTAGTTCGGTGCTTGCTGATCTCTTTGCCGGCAACGTGAGGGATTTCTTGCAACTCGGCCGTGCGGCCGTGAACATGTGAGAAGGCCAAAAGAGAATCCCTATCCCTAGGATCTGGGTGGAAGAACAGCGGACTCCTCAGATGTTCGATCTGCAACCTGTGGAACTTCTCTTGCCATGCGGCCATCCACTGGTCGGAAAGCGCATCCAGTACAATGATGGACCTGGCAGCAGAGCCGTGGGACTTGTCAGTCCTCCGGCCAGAACAGGCGGCGGCCCTTCGGTGGCATTTTTGTTCGTTTTCAATCGTTTCGCGCCTGTTGAACCTCCGCCAATACCTGGCGTGCTCGTCGTCGGTGAAAAGTGCGGAGGGAGTGGCTTCTCGTAACCGCGCCGCCACGGCCAGCCCGCAAGGGCCAGCGCCAATGATGGCTACGTCGTACACCATCCTCGGACTGAGCTCTCGAAATGCAAATGTCGGAGAAGCATTCCCAGAGAGATCTGATCTGGCCCGCAGAGAGTCAAACGAGGCAGATATGGAGGTGGTCCGGGAGACTACCACGGCCAATTTTCCTTGACGTGGCTAACGGCAGTTCATTACTGTGCACTTAAGGTCCTCGAATTTGACAATTGAACGTCCGAATCCCACCAAAACCGCGGGCTGGACGACTTGATTTCTCCCTTCGCTTTAAACACCATGGGGGCCACTCATTCCTCATGGAATCCTTGCGACGACAGGTGGGCAGGTCTCTTCTACCATATGTGTGGTTGTATCTCTTGGCTCAGAAGTGGGCGCGTCACCCGAGGGTGTATATAAATGCCTCCCTCTCGTTTCGGTGGCTGACGGCCACAGCAGCACAGATGCTGCGCAACAGGACGCTCTCGCCAGCACAGTGCACGAATCTTGATTTCTCAGTCTGTCAATCAATGCTGCGACTCGATTGTGTCCCGGCCTCAACGACATCCGGGTTTCTTCTAAGGTGAATTATCTCACGAATCGTAAGAATGGTGAGCAGGGAGGGATGTTGTCTTTCTCTTGAAGCATGCTCCATAGTAGGCTCTATTTCTAACGCAATACATGGCTGATGTGGGATCTCATGCTCCTTCTCCTGAACAAAACCAATTGTGACGCTCGGTTGTAAGCCCGACAGCTCGCTCATCTTTGCACATGGCGTTCAATGAAGACGCGTGTATCTTGCATCGACTCGCGGTCACAGGCTTCGTCGTGGACGACAAGTTCAATGATGTCTTCGAAACAACTCGCCGGCGCAAGCTCGTCCACCCTCAAGTGCTGCAGTAACAAAGCCCAATATTCGCCAGTTCAGTGATCTTCTCTTCAACGCGGGCCCATTTGGTTCACGATCTCTAAGGGTCCATGACCGTTATAGTCAGAGCAATCAGGAAGGCGACGACAGTATCCCTTCGCTTGTCAGCTTGTGGGCACTCATATGAGCAAGCAACCCACTAGCAGGAGAAGTCGAGGCCAACGAATAACCCCAACTCTTCTTGAGTGCTACCTTCGGGGGCAGGTGTCGTGTTCATATGTCCCGGGCCACTCGAAACTCCCATGGTGGAAATTGAGGACCTTAAGCATGCGGGAAGCAGCTAATAGTCGCATCTAGAGGCAGATGAGGGCTAATGCTGGAAGGGAACATGCCAATTGAGATGCCTCAATGATCTCGAGCTCTGAGAATTCACCTTTCAGCGACCCTTTTCTTTCTCTGAGGCTCTGCCTCATGCACAGTCCAAACATGCCCACTAATGCACTGATAGTGTAGTGTGCCCATTTCCAAGAAAGGATGAAAGCGGCAGGGCTTCTGCAAGCTCCAAACGAGATCCGAGTGATTTTGACTCATCCTTGATGATGAAGTCATCGAGGTTTGGGGCCGCGTTCAATTCTGCGCGAATTGCAGAAGTTGAAACGAATTGCAACTTGCAAAGTTATTTTGCTACCCAACACAGCCTTGGGCGCATGAGGGCCGGCGGGTGCAGTCTCGAGGCACTGCAAGACTCAGAACCTTCTAGGTTTCTCTCACAAATGCTCCGCTTTGTCGATTTCAACTGGTTGTTGGATATCAATAACAACCTGGAAGTCATGAAAAGGCGTCAGAACGCCCGGTTGGTACCCAAAATGGGTGCAGCCAGCGGATCGGGGCGATGCTGGCTGGCTTTTTAGACCCGAAACCCACGCGAGGTTGCCTCATTCCCAACGGAAAATGGATCAATGGGAAGACTGCCGACTTGTTCAGATGCAGCATACAGCAGATGGGAATGAGGCGGTCAGAAACGAGGCACTGGACTGGTGGAGGAAGATGGGAGTGATGCCCGAATCCAGCGCCAAGGGTAGTGTAAAGCTGGCAATGCGCTGGCACTCGCTCACTCGCTCGTTCCAGTCAAACACTCAACACCACGGCCACGGCCAGCAGAGGATTCCCAAGGTAAGGTAAGATTCAGAACTGCTGCAATACCGAAGATACAGAACCAAGCGAAAAGAAAACCCGGCCAACAAATCCTGATCAGGGCTGCAGAGAGGCTGTCTAGGCACTCCCGATGCCGGGAGAGCGTGCCGTCATGCAAACCGAAGGGTGCAAACGAATGAATGGACGACTCCTCAAGGTCAGATATTGGGGGAAAACCAGTGTCGTCCCTGGTGGACTCGAGCTCATTTACTTCATGCGGGTGGCCGCACCACCAGGACAGACTCGACAGCAGGTCACCTCCTCCCTCCCCATGATCAACTATCCCCTTCGCGGATCCCCATTGGAAGGTCGACTGCAGGACGGGATCAAAGGATGATATGTGTCATCTGCACTGGAGTGGACGGCAGCATAGCACAGGTACAAGTCACGTTTGTTTGTGTCATATCAGCTTCTTAACTGGATTTTTTCGCGAGCCAATCGACGTCTCAAAGGTGTAGATGATCTGTAACCCCAGTGCTTCGTGGGCGTGAACGAATATCCCGCACGAGGAATCAGAGCACCGTACGAAAAACATTGGAAGGCCGGCCACCCGTAGGTCTGTCCTAGATAAAAATCAACCTGAGCCTTTAGGCTTCACAGCACCACGACGCCGAGTGGGCACGCAAGGCCTGGCGAGGCTTGACAAGGCTTGATCGTGCATAATCCCAGACCGATTGGATCTGATCACCCTGAATTTCAGCTGGGTTTGACCGATTGACAAGAAAGTAGCCACTCGGCAGGAGAACCATTGGCTGGCAGGGTCGCCAATCAGGGCATGTTTGGTCAAGAATTGGACTGAAAAAGGGAGGCGAAAATCCTGACCGAGAGATCTTTGATATGCATTGGTCCTTGTTGACTCGCAAACCAGCTTGACGGGAGCTGAACATAGCCGAGTGACCTGCAGGTGTTTGAGACTGTTTGGACCGACATATCCAGCGTAAATCTTGACAAACCCTCGACCTTGTCCTCTACTAACCCCCAATCCGCCGTTGATAGCACTCACAGCCACCGGCCAACAAAAGGCAACGAGAACTTATCGAGCAGACTCGCGTTCTGTGAACGCTGTAGAGAGGTGCCACTGGAGGGTACGCAAGGAAGAGGCGTCATGAACGACGGCGATGATGAGGCATTGGATGATACTATTTATGAAGGTCATGCAAGGGTATGGTCGCAACAAAGAGCAGATTCGGGTATAGTGACGGTCAATGATCGGAGACTGTGTCGTGCATTGGCTGTTCGATTGGGCTTGAGGCATGAACTGCTCAAGGGCGATGAGGTATGACGGACAGTAAGCTTACCATGCATGGAAGCGGCGCAGTCCCCGTGACTCCCATTTCGGACTCCATGGAGATGTCGGTGGGTGCCCAGAAGTGGTCGGTGCTTCAGTGAAATGGGGGGTTCTAGGCATGTCTGGCCCCGCCGGAATGCTTCCAGAATGAAAAAGGGAGCGTACACGGGCTTAAGCAGCGGCTTCTAGGGGTTAACTGGGCAGGTGTTGTTTAAGTGCTGAGGGGTTTTGGGCATGTGCTGCGCTGGGATCATTAACCATCATGGGCACCCTAGTTGAGCCCACAGGGGTCACGATCAGGTAAGCCAGCAGCCCGCAGGCACCCGCCAGCACCTACGAGTCCTTGTATGACGATGCCCTTGGTGCCGCCTTTTCCATGCGTCCTTAAAGGAGCGGCATCAACCAAGCCTCGGAGCAAACGTCTTCCGCTCCCAACTCCCCTCGTTTCTTTCTTCCAAATCAATCTCTCAATTATTGTCACTCACGCTCGCTTCGAGGTTTTCTCGCCACTGCCATTGCTGGCGCTTCCATCATCTCTCTCTTTTATTCAGCAATCCGAGGAAGAGAAGGGCCAGGAAACCCCGAACTGATTAGACTTCTGTCGAGACTGCGCCATCACAGTGTGATTGTCCACTCATTTCACTCGTTCACCTCAAACTCACTCATTTCAGCTCAGTCGAGTACAAGTACTTCCACACCTTCGTTTTCGCCTCTTTCTTCTCACATCCACCGCCTTCGTCTCGTAACAGTATTTACCGTATATTACCTGTACCGACACCTCCTCACCTCCAAGAACGCCCAAGTGGGCATCTCTGGTGACCCCCTCCGGGTCCTCTTGCTCTTTTTCGGCTTTCCCTCTCGTCCTCTCATCCCCCTCTCTGACTCCCCCGTCTCGCCAGGGGCTTCCTTCGTATTGCGCTAGACCGGCCTCAACCCTTGATCCCTGCTACACGAGCCATCAGAAAAGTTGGGTTCACGGCACGCCCAGGCAAGAGCATGGACCAGTCTTAGTGTGGAAAGCCATCAAAGCCATCAAGCCATCCGCTGCATCCACTTCACAATCCTTCTTTGTCACTTCGACCCCTTCGATACCATCGAACCTAAAAGGGCATCCACTCACACTTGGGCCATCGTCTTCCTCTCCCAAAAAATCCATTTTAACGTTAATTGTCCCCCCTGATTTCCCTTCGCTGGTATCAATTTCCCTTTCAACAACGATCTTTTCATTCCTTCTCCCACGCGGCTTATTGGCCACTTTTGAGCTTTCTGGCTCCAGTTGGTCCCATTTCCTTCCACAAGCTTCGACTCTAGTCTAGCACCGAACCGGCAAAGGCACAGCCGCCTTCATCACCATCAAACGCGCGGACACGGATTCCCAGTTTCCAACAAGAACAGCCTTCTCGTTCATCGAGCCCCCAAGACCCATCAATCGAGCTTGGTGCCCACTGTCGACTCATCGTGGGAAAGTCGACTCACACCGGCTGCTTTGCTCCGCGACCCCCTAGTCAGAATCCACACACAGAGCCTTGGGGCCTTGTCAACCACCTCAAAAAACCAACATATACGGGCTACTCGCACCAGCCTTCGAGTTTTTTCCTTCCTCCTCACTGCAACCACTTTTCCGCGTCATCGCAGAGCCTGCACACTGCAGCAAACGAAGCTAAATCCAACTTTTACTGTCCCAAATTGAGTCGCCTGACT